TTTAAATATAATAATAAATATATATTATATTATAATTATATATATTATATTATAGTATAATATAATATAGTTGTAATTTTTAACTATCAACAACAATTCAACCTCATAATTTACCAAATGTTATTATACTGATTTTGAAACCAGCACAGCTACTATAATTATAGTTTATCAAACACTCAACTGCTTTTTGTAACAACTGCTTCTTCTTTTAGCACAGCTAAAAATAATTTTTCAAAATCTACAGCACTACCAAACTAAACCTAAGCTAAAAGAAATAAACTAGTGAAAAAATAAGGGAGAAAGAGGGAAATAGGCCAAGACTTGAGATGAATTAAAATTAATAGGCCAATAGTTTACATAAGTTAATAAATAGGCCAAATTACTGTTTTCGTCCATAACTAGTCTGGTTATGAACCATAACTTGATAAGTTATTGTCCATAACTTGTCTGGCTATGAACCATAACTTGACAAATTTATCCATAACTAATCTGGTTATGAATCATAACTTGACAAGTTATGGCATATTAATTTCTATAACTAAAAATTGGCCTATATACTTTCTTAAGCTTTTTATATTGGCATATTTTCTACTATTTCTCAAAAAATAAAGGAAAAAAGGCGTGCATTGGATATACATATAAGAGTGAAAATTGCATGAAACGCAAAAGACAGCAACCAGATCAAGAGTGAAACAGAGAATTATACATACATAGCCAGGCATGCGAGGCCAAGGACCACGGTCGAAAGCGGCACGTGCGGCTTTCACGGCCAAGTCAACGTCATCCTTGTCTCCTTCTGCAATATTTGCTATTACCTCCCCATTTCTAGGATCTCTCGTCTCAAATACTTTTCCTTTAAACCATAAAATGAAAAGAGAATAAGGTTGTGTAAGTGTCTATATATTCAAAGACGTACAATTAAGGCCAGCTCAATTGGTGTTCATGCGATGCATGAGATTTTCTTTTTTCAGTGTATATATGATTTCTAAGTTCAAGTCTGAAGCGACACAATTATTTAAAAAGAAAAAAAAAAACCTACGTACAAAAGACGAGAACACAGATCATACAAGGGAATTATGTCACAGTCACACTTTGAATCGAATCTATCTCAACCAAGACAGTGGTAATATGAGATAAGACAAGAAAAGATAAGTTGTGTAATACATTAAGGTTTCCTTAAAAAATATCATACTTAAAAATTCATAAGTCGAGAAAATGTTACAAGTTAAGGTTGATATATAATGACATAATATCTAAAACTGCGTTGGTTTAGGTCCAAAGTGGATCACTGTCATACTAAATGAAAGTGTGGATCGTTAGTGAGGCCTAATGGTTTACATTTGATATCAGCCTAATCCATTATTAATTAGTGAGGGATCACTGTCATACTAAATGAAAGTGTGAGTCATGGGATATACCAATCGCTGTTTGGACCCGATCAGCAAATGGCAAATGCCCCATGAACTGTGTACGTTCGATATACCCTCTCAAATTTTTAAAAGTTTCTCTAACCACCTCAATTATATAAAATTGTTCAAAATAGCTCTTTCATCTGGACCCGTCTATAATACTAACAGAAGGCTTGTATGACATTAATTACAATCAGGGGATAAGTTCACATAAGATCAATAGTTACTAGAGTAAGTTAATATAAAATCAAATCTGGATAGTTTGGGGCCATTTATATTTAGTTATATATCAGCCTTCAATTAGTATTATAGACAAATCTTAATGGAAGAGGGTTTGAACGATTTTTTGTAGTTAAGAGGGTGAAATGAATGCTTTTAAAATTTCGAGAACATAAGCAAATTATGTATATGGTTTAGTACATTTATGAAATTAATCTATTTGTAACCCCTGAGTGCCATATCAGATATGTACATGGGAGATGAATGGTGTTTAAGTGTGGGTTTAAAGAGCTCAAAAGTATCTTAAGCCAACTGTTAGAGTTAAGAATTTAGCAACGAATGTCAAGAACGAGAGAATAAAAAGAAGAGCGAGATTTATACTGTAATTATTTTCAAGAGACAAAATCACAAGTTACAATATAATCCCAGATTCAAGCTCTGCAACTAGCTTGAGTACCCAAACAGAATTACAATAGCAAATCCCTAAGGAAAGGAATGATGTTTAAAGGCAGCAATAAACATCCCCAGGAGCTCAATCCCGATCAAGAGGATGCTCCTCTTGCCCACCAAGATTGTTCTGATACTTTTCTCCACACCCCCACTAATGCCGCCCACCAGCTACTAAATCTCCAACTACAACATCTAGCTTGCCACATGTAACCTCCTCATTTGCTAACCACGTAACCATCTGTAGCCAACTCCTTCCTCATTTGATAGACTCACCAAGGTTTGGGCCCCGTGTAAAGGTTGTCTGCACTTGGGCTTGGGTTAGGTGAATGGGTCGTAACAATGTCTCCCGCTTGAGAAACAACCTTGTCCTTTAACTCATAGTCCATCCATGTAGCCTCCTCGACAGGTTTTCCTTTCCACTGAACCAAGACATGCTTCACTGCTACTCCATCAACCCTCATAGGCCTTACCGCAACTATTTCCTCTAGTTCCACAGTGGGCTTGTCATCCGTTTCCAACCCCGCCGGTAGTTGGCCTTCGACTGGGTCGTTGCCTACTGCCTTCTTCAATTGGGAGACATGAAAAATTGGATAAATGCGGGAAGTAGGGGGAAGTTGCAACTGGTAAGCCACAGAACCAATGCGTTGCAGAATAAGGAAGGGTCTATAATAGCGGGTGGAGAGCTTTGGGTTAACGCGATGCGCGACAGATTACTGACAGTGTGGCCGTAACTTAAGAAACACCTTGTCACCCACGGCAAATTGGACATGCTTCCGGTGGATATTCGCATATTTGCGCATCCTGTCCTGTGCGCGCAAGAGGTTGTACCTCAGCTGCCTCAAAATTTCCTCCCTATCAGCCAACAAACTAGCCATAAACAATTTCAAATGGTGTTCTCCCTGCTGTGGCGTAGTAGGTAATGTTATACCAAAGCTCTGCCCAACTCAGCCATTGTGGCCATTGTTTCGGTTACTCCGAAACAAAGCATCTGAGGTAAGTTTCCTGACCTCAGTTGAGAACTTCGGTTTGTCCGTCCGTCTCTAGATGATAAGAAGAGCTCATCCGTAATACCGTCCCCTACAATCGAAAATATTCCCTCCAGAACGTGCTAATGAAAGTTGGATCCCGATCGCTGCCTATCGAGCTGGGAACGCCATGTAACCGAACGATCTCCTTTGCGAAAACAACCACAATCGACTTCGTGGTGTAAGGGTGTTTGATGGCGATAAAGTGTCCGTACTTGGAAAACCAGTCAACTACCACATAGATGCAGTCAAAGCCCACTGATTTCAGTAGTCCAGAGATGAAATCCATGGCAATATCATCCCAAACCGCCATCAGAGTCGGGAGTGGCTACAGCAGCTCGACGGGCGTTGTGGCCAAATACTTTTGCTTCGGACAAACAAGGAAAGCAGCCACGAAGGCCTTCACTGTTTTCATCATCCTTGGCCAATAGATATTCACAGCTAAGCATTGATAAGTCTGGTAGACTCCTTAGCGCCCTCCTATGGCAGTACAATGGAACTCTTGTAGGAGCGACTGAGCCCAAGGAGAATTGGTTAGAATCACTAACTGTCCCTTGTAGAACAACTGATCTTGTACCAATGTATAGGGTGGGCAACTCTTGGGATCTGCATGAAGTTGTTGTACAATTGAAGTGAGTTTAGGGTCAGTAAGAATAGCTTTGTTTACTTCCTCGGCCTTCAACCATTGAGGGCAGCTTATGGCTAAAAATTCAACTTCCTCATCTCGGCGTGATATTGTGTCAGCGGCTTTGTTGCAAGTTCCCACATTGTATTGAATCTCGAAGTCATACCCCAATAATTTTGCATTCCAATTTTGTTGCGCCGAAGTTGTTATTCGCTGCTGTAGGAGGTACTTCAAACTTTTGTGGTTGGTGCGCACCCAAAACTTGCGTCCTAAAAGGTACGGGCACCAATGTTGAATCGCCAGGACCAGCGCCATTAATTCTTTCTCGTAAGTTGACCTGGCTAAAGTTCTGTCCGATAGTGCCTTACTAAAGTATGATACTGGCTTGTTATCTTGCATCAACACTGCCCTAAGCCCTCTCCCGGAAGCATCACATTCAATGATGAACGGTCTTGAAAAATCAGGCATGCTGAGTACTGGGGCCGTGATCATCCGCTCTTTTAACTCCTCAAATGCGCGGTGTTCCTTTGTGGTCTAATTAAATCCCAGGCTTTTCTTCAACAAATCTGTGAGGGGTTGCGTGATCTTTCCTTAGCCCTGTATAAACCTTCGATAATAGCCCGTTAGATCCAAGAACCCGCGAACGACCCGGACATTGCGAGGCGTCGGCCAGCGAATGATGCTGGAAATCTTGCTAGGGTCCATTGCTACTTCTTTTGTCGAAATGACGTGTCCCAGATAGTCAACAGACTGCCTCCCAATTTGGCATTTCTTTTTGTTAACAACCAGCTGGTTAACCTTCAACAGTTCCAACACTACCCTTAAATGCCCCACATGTTCATCCCAAGTTGTGCTGTAGACAAGAATGTCATAAAAAAACCAAAATAAATTTTCAGAGATAAGGTCGGAATACCTCATTCATCGTCGCTTGGAATGTGACAAGGGCATTGGTGAGTCCAAAGGGCATCACCAAAAATTCATAATGCCCCTCATGTGTTTGAAACGTCATTTTCAGCACATCCGCGGCCCGAACACGTATTTGGTGATAGCCAGCGTGTAGGTCCAACTTAGAGAAGTACTCAGCTCCCTGTAGCTCGTCCAACATGTCACAAATGACCAGAATAGAGTATTTATCAAGAACGGTCACCTTGTTTAATTGGCGGCAGTCCACGCAAAAATGTTAGCTCTCATCCTTCTTCCTGACCAGGATCACAGGGCTCGAGTAGGGACTGGTACTCGAACGGATCACTCCTACTGCCAACATCTTCGATACAAGTTTCTCAATTTCATCCTTCTGCGTATGTGCATACCGATAAAGGCGAACACTCACTCGATTCGCCCCTTCCACAATAGGAATGGAATGATCAGTGGTTCGTGGTGGTAGAAGTCCGTTGGGCTTTTGAAAAATCTTCTCATAGGCGGTCAGTAACTTGTGCAGATCAGCCAGTTGGGTCTCTGTTAAGGCCTTGTCGTCAGTTGGTGCCGCATCAATCTCCGCGACTCGGCCGTCGACTTCCCACAACATGCCGCTGAAAATCACATCAGTCGTTTTCAATAGCGACTGTGCGGAGACAGGCGTGCGACATAACGCTGGATCACCCACGATTTCCACCGTTGTACCCCGCCAGTCGAATTTCATTGTCATCGTGCATCAATTCACCTGCACTTCTCCTAGTGTCTCAAGCCATGTCACTCCCAAAATAACGTCGACCCACCTAAGTCAAACTTGTAATAATTCACCAGAAAAGAGAGGTCACCCAACGTTATTTGGACATTATTGCAAACTCCTCGAGCAGACACTTTATGCCCATCACCCAACTTTAACTCTAAAACTGTTGGTATCCTCCAACAGAAAATTCAGCCGATCAATAACCCCCGCGGAGATGAAATTGTGGCTTGCGCCACTATCCACCATGACGACGATAGGGCTCCCATTCACTGAGCCGGTGAGCTTCATGGTACGAGGCTGAGAAATCCCTCCCACCGAATACAAGGGAAGCTCCACGTGGCTGAAATATGCTTAATCTAGTTGCTCGCTCACGACAGTCTCTGTGGCCTCCAGCTTATCGAGTTCCCCTTCTCCCTCTAATTCCTCATCATCACCCACAATGATGGCGTGCATGCTATTGTTAGGGCACTAGTGGAGGGGGTGGAATGGCCACCAACACTTAAAGCACAAGCCCTTCTCTCGCATCTCCAGAAATTCTTGGTGTGAATAATTTCACGTTCGTTTAGACCTTGGGGGTGCCATTGGAACTCTGTCCGGTGGTTGGAGTCCTGCCGACTTCGTTCGAGAAACTTCTCCCATGGGGCGTGGAGTGTCCCGAGGTGTGTGGGTGGTGCGTGTATCTTGGACTGGTCCTGGAAAGGAATGGGACCCAGATTTCCAATTGCCGGGTTGGGTGGGTGGGTAAGCTGGGGCCCACCCAAAAGATCCCTGCCTTGAAGAAAAACAGTGGCCTGTAAACGACACATTCCCAACTTGTCGTCCACCGAATACACCTGTCGCTTGAATACCCATCTCTTCTTCCACGTCGCAGGCCAACTTCATCGCTCTAGACACATCTGTCGGGTTATGAGTACGGACGCGGCCTCGAATTACGTCTTTGAGCCCCTTATGAAGTACCCTAAGGCTTGCAGATCTAGCAACTCTAAAACTTGAGTAGCTGTGGCCACAAATTCCTCGATGTGTTCTACAACGGAGCCCGTTTGGCGTAGCGTGTTGAGTCGTTCATACGGATTGCTTGCCTTTCGTCCGCAATAACGCCTAATGAGTTCGGCGACCAACACCTCCCAAGAGAGAGATGGGTCTTTCTTGCGAATCCACTGTATCCAATAAAGAGCAGAGCCCTCCATACAAATCACTGTGAAGAAGACTTTGAGGACATCAGGTATGTTATGGATGCCAAAATATTACTCAGCTTGAGCAATCCAGCCGAGCTGATCTGTACTGTCAAAGGTTGGTATCTACACCCGTTTAGCTGCATTATGGAGTTCATCCGAGCTGTTTGCCAAAGGCGTCTCTTTAGTGTTGGTGAATCGGTTGCTGACCTCGGCAGTTGTAGGACTCGGGTGTTCCCGTGGTAAAGACGACACCGTTGTTGCTGAATCATTTGGTTCACTGTCTGTGTGCTTCCCTTTCAACACGCTAGATAGCATTATCTTAAGTTCATCCACAGTATCCAGGCGGTTGTTAATCCGCATCACTTCCTCCGCGATGCCCTGCATTTTGACATCTTGGGTGAGTGTCCCCTCTTTCATTTGCTTCAGTGCATCTTCGACCAACGCTAAACTCTTCTCTAACAAGTCCAAGCGGGACTCCACTCTCGTGTTCGTCAAGGCAGGTCGGACCAATTTGTTAGAGTTAAGAATTTAGCAACGAATGTCAAGAACGAAAGAATAAAAGGAAGAGCGAGATTTATACTGTAATTGTTTTCAAGAGACAAAATCACAAGTTACAATATAATCCCAAATTCAAACTCTGCAACTAGCTTGAGTACCCAAACGGAATTACAATAGCAAATCCCTAAGGAAAGGAATGATGTTTAAAGGCAGCAATAAACACCCTCAGGAGCTCAATCCCGATCAAGAGGATGATCCTCTTGCCCGCCAAGACCGTTCTGATACTTTTCTCCACACCCCTACTAACGCCGCCCACCAACTACTAAATCTCCAACTACAACATCTAGCTTGCCACGTGTAACCTCCTCATTTGCTAACCCTGTAACTGTCTGTAACCAACTCCTTCCTCCTTCGATAGACTCGCCAAGGTTTGGGCCCCGTGTAAGGGCTGTTTGCACTTGGGCCTGGGTTAGGTGGATGGGTCGTAACACCAACACTCTTAGGTGAAGTCCAGTGGTTATATTTAGTATCAAAGACAAGAACATAATAGTCAAATTCCTCAAGTGGAATCTGCATAACATTCTATAGAAAAAGAGCCAAAGAAAGAAAGGACCAACTTGTCTCTTTAATAATCCGGAGAAGCATGTCCGAGCAGAGTTTTTTTTCACTGACTTAATTTCTATTGAATAAGTTTAAAAAAGTTTAAAGCAAGTTTTTTTTTTTTTTTAAGTTCTTTTAAGCCTTTGAGGAAATTATATAATATATAAAACTTGAAGAACATGCTGAAGCAAGTAAAGAAACGATAACAAAACTAATGAATAATAAGGATTTTAGTTGAGAAATTAAACCTGAAACTGAATCAACAAATTCTCCATTGATGAACAGCTTCGTGAATTTTATTGTCGCCATCTTAACAAAAGACTCACTAGTACCATGACTTCCCATTTCTTTCTCTCTCCTCCAATCCTTGCGTTTCTGTTTCTCTTTCCTTACTAGAAACAATAGTTTCTCTCTCTTGAATTTCTAGTTGAATTTTACACCCATCATGAAAGCAATATGATAATTCGATATGATGTAATATAATTAATCAACAAAAGAGATTCTTTAGCACAAATCTAGAAAGTTAAAGAAATAAAAATAATAAAGAACAAAGGAGACAAAGCAAAGCCAACGAGAAAAAATGATGCGTTACTTTTGTCCACTTCTTTTATGTGGAACTTTAATCATCAAAGCACTTTGTCACTTTGTTCTTTTTTTTAATCGAAATGTATCAAAATAGTACCATAGTACCTTAGGTTAGGTAAAGAGTCTTTTCTGACACATGTTTATCATTTTAATTAATAACTCCAAACTAATCACGCAAAATATTAAACAAAAAAATAATAATGAAGAAAACCGAGTTCCTTCTTCACTCCATGTGTTGATATAACAAATAAAATATTTGGCATATCTGGAGTGCGTCCATTTATTCATGGAGATATCAGATCATTTTTGTGTTAAGAATTTAGACACCCGGTTCTATATTATTGAGAGCAATAAAAATGAAAAAATAAAATCAAACAAATAAGAACATGTAAAATTTATAATAGTTCACCCATGAGAGTTATATCTATTTTTAACCACCGCAGTATTTCATTATAATAAAAAAGAAGCATACACGATGAGTAACACATCTCTTATCTTTTTTGTGCTTTCTCTAACATCTCTAATTAGCCATAAAATCAGCACCCTTAACTTAACATTTTCCAGCAATGTGTGAGCTAGATTTAGTACTTAACGTTCAGAGGGTCTACATCACACTTGATGTGTTCAATATGTGAGTCTAATTATTGTTTCGATAATTATCGCTTTATGCACAGACTACACGTTATTTATTCTTATAAATTTCTTATTCATCATAATGTTAAAAGTGGACGTAATTCTTACATTAAAAGTGAACTATTGTAAATTTTGTGTATTCCTATTTATTTAATTTCTTTTTGCGATTTTATTGCTCTCGGTAGAATTAGGGCATCTAATTAATTAAAGGGTTAGACTCCAATCTGGCAAGGGAGGACTTCACCATTATTAGAAGCTCGAACTGAGTTTTTTAGTCACAAAAAAAAAAGGATTAACACTTTTATATAATTAATTTGTGTTTTATTAAGTAAAATAATAAATTTAATGTTTTATTTAATACTGTGTTGGGCCTATTATTTCTATTATTATTATTATTATTATTATTAATGGAAAGGTGGAGTAGTGGAAGGTGGGTCTAGCATGAGGAGGGTAAGATTATTATTATTATTGTTATTTTTATTATTGTTATTTTTATTGTTATTATTGTTGTTATTATTATTATTATTATTATTATTATAAAACGACCGTTAGCTTTTTGAAACGAAAAGAGGAGAAAAAACTGACATCAACTAAAAACTACTTTTGAGATCATCGCAACCATAAGAAGGATTTTTTTTTTCTTTTGGTTATATGACAGGAATTTGGAAAAGCAGCAATTAATATTCAAGGATGGCGAAATAAAAAAAACGACAGAAAAAACATCAGTCATTAGACGATAACAAAGGTATTAAACGTAATGTCAATTGTCAACAAAAATAAAACGACATCAAGCGCTACAGATAAGAAAGGATTAATTACAAAAATTATTATGCCCCGTGTAACACTTTGGTCCATGATCTTTAAAACGTAGCATTCATTCCCCTAAATAATGAAATTGTTATAAAAATGTCCCTCCTATTAGGAAATTTAAATGTTTTTAACATGTGTCATATAAATAACAGTTGTTGTTAAACAATTTAGAGTACAATTACTATTTTCACCACACACTCTAATTTTTTTGTCTAACTTACATACAATATAGTTAAAAAAATAAATTTTCTTCACTTCTAATAACAAAACTAATGATGGATGTTTTATAATTAAAAGTCTAAATTTAAATTAGTTTTAAATTCATATTAAATTTTAAACCATGAAATTACCAAAATACTTATAAAATAATTAATTAAATTTCAATTTATGCTAAAAATTTAACGAGGGGAGTTTTTTTGTTAACATTTTAATATTCAAGAAAACAGATTTTACGTTTTAAACATCAGGAGGGAGTAAAGTGTAATTAAAAAAATAAACTTTTTTACTTCTAATGACAAAACTAATTATGGATGTTTTGTAATTAAAAGTCCAAATTTAAATAAGTTTTAAATTCATATTAAATTTTAAACCATAAAGTTACTAAAATACTCATAAAATAACTAATTAAATGTCAATTTATGTTAAAATTTAACGATGGGAGTTTTTTTGTAACATTTTATTATTCAGGAGAAGTAGATATTACGTTTTAAACATCGGAGGGTAAAGTATTATAAGGGTTATATATCAGGGGGAATTTCTGTAATTAGGATAACAAATAAAACTACAAAAACGTTGGGGGAAAAGATCAAACTTGAAAAACAACAAACAATAAAAGCAAAAGGAATTGAAAACTTGAACATGACTAGTAGAAAAGCAAAAACGACATGAACGACGACAAATAAGAAACAACTAAAGGAAGATAGATAACAACGGAAATAAAACGACAAATAAAACAAATATTAGAAGAATGACTAGAAAAAGACATGAACCAAATACAACAACAACGAGAAAGCACAATAAAAATTAAAGGATATAATATATATATAGCTATTATTGTGTTTTAATAATTACATTTTTATTATTGATAGTTACTTATCAAATATAGAAATTCGAAATTCGATGATCATGGAATATACCATTCTATCACAAGAAACATATTTACAAGGAAAAGAAAAAAACGAAAACAAAAAGAAGGAGAAATTAAAAGAAAGAAAAGAAGGTGCGAGTGTGGAAAGTTGTAACTCCCACTCCACTTGTATATATTCAGCCTTATACAACATTTTGCATGGAATACAATTTTGTCGACCAAACATATACGAAACTACAATCCCATTACAACTACTCAGCATCTGTACAAACCGTAACTCGAGTGTTTATTTTCGTATTACCAAGAAGGGGAAAAAAAAAAAAAGTAAACGACAAAAGAAAGCTTTATTACACTTTGTAACTTGTTGAGAGCAACCGTTTTCTCTCAGAGCCATGGAGAATTGTAAATAGGAGTTACCACGGATTTCACTTGCAGATACTTATGAAGAGCATCCAAACCAAAATCTCTTCCGAACCCGCTCATCTTGTACCCGCCATACGGGCAATCGCGATCGAAAGCGAAGTAGCAGTTGATCCATATGATGCCTGCACGGATTGATCTTGAGACAGTGTTGGCCACATTCAAGTCCTTTGTCACAATGCCTGCTGCTAACCCATATTTAGTGTCGTTTGCTCTTGTTATTGCCTCCTCAATAGTCCTACAATAGTGGAGGAGAATATGTCAAGATTTATTCAAGATAATAAATAATGAAGACAAAAATTATGCTTGACAAATTGAGATGTTCATTTTTAGGAAAATATGTATAAATGAGAATTTTTGCTATTTACTTGAACTTCATGAGCGCCATAACTGGTCCAAATATTTCGTCCTTTACAATAAGCATGTCCTCCTGAGGTATTGAAATGAGAAAGATGAGAACCGCATTTATATCAATTATACATCACAATATGACTAATTCCTCGTAAAGATAAGGTAATGAAGCGAAGATTTAGGGTTTAATCATTAGAATTTACTACTTTCTGAGTAATTTAACTGAGTTGAAAATGTACCTTAACATCGGTGAATATTGTTGGCTCAATGTAATATCCTCTGTTTCCAATAGCCTTGCCCCCAGTTAACAATGTGGCTCCTTCCCTCTTTCCATGCTCAATGTAGCTCAAAATCTTATCGAATTGCGCCTTGTCGACCTGCAATGGCGTGGGATGAGTTATTAAAAACGCGCGAATTTAACAACTAATTTCAAATTGTAAAATAGATCATGTGTGATTTTGAAAGCACAAGTACATGTGTTATTTTTACTGGGACGATGTTTTAATATTTTGCTAACCTGGGGTCCTTGACGAACTTGAGGATCAAAAGGGTCTCCAACAACCCAATCTTTTGCCTTCTTCACCAACTTCTTTACAAATTCATCATAAATCCCTTCTTGAACATACACACGAGAACCCGCCACGCATATTTCTCCCTGAATAGTACAAAGAAACCAAAAGTTATTGAAGCTTGATGATATATATAGTACTTAACAAGCGAAGTTGATCAATTAGCTAGAAACCGAAAAATGCTATCAAAAATTGTTTCCAAGGGCATGCAACTAATTTACCTTGTTAAATAGAATTCCCTGAAGAGCAAGACTAGAAGCCATATCTATATCAGCGTCATCAAAAATTACGAGGGGCGATTTTCCTCCTAATTCTAGCGAAACCGTTTTTAAATTGCTCGCCGCTGATGCCTTCATTATTTCGCGTCCTACATCTGTGGAGCCTGTAAAACTCACCTAAAATAAAAAATAAAAAAATTTAAAATCATGCCTCAGATTCTTCAATACTTTGATTGATCCATCCAAACATAATTCTGACATGTTTTCAAACTAGTAGAGATTACCATGTCAATGTCCATATGAGAACTGATAGCAGCACCCGCGGTTCGTCCAAAGCCAGTGACCACATTGAGCACTCCCTCAGGTATACCGGCCTAATAAAAATAGTTACAAAAGACAAATATTCAGCTGATTATCTTCATATATGGCTTAAATCTTCCACAGATGAAAAAAGCTAGGCAAAAAAGTTTTCCTTGATAGAATTAAAGACATGGACTGCTAAGACAGAACAATTTTGGGAAAGTTTTGTTGGATCCTTAATCCAACGTTAGGCTTATATGTGAATAATTATGTGTTGTAGACTGTCATATAAGTTTAAATCCGTTTAAAAGTGATCTAATAAGGTTGGGTAATTGGGCTTTAATGTATCTAATAGAGTTTGGACTTTAATGTGCAGAGACTCAAAGGGTAATTTCTATTTTTATGATGGATTAAAATAGAAATATCAAAAGATAACAAGAAAATTTTCTATAAATAGCAGTTATGGGTCCCCAGATCACATATTACATTCTATTCCTTCTGACATCTCATCATCAGACAGAGTACATAGAGAAAGTTTATGAGTTCACTAAGAAAACGTGTTGATCTGGAAGACAAACTGCACGGTTCTAGAGAGAAATCAGTCAATATAGATTCAGGTACGCTTCCGCTTACAGATTTATTAATTCTTGATAAACATGAATGTTTTTAACTTTTGGGTGATGGTTTTTATCAAATCATTGATTTCTAACGAGTTTATGAACCACTAGTATAATTTAGTGGGATTAATCCAATTTTTTCATGTTGGTTAAACACTATTTTTTTGGACACCAAAACTGAAAAGGTTATGTTAATCCCAACTAAGAAATGTATATAGTATTGGTTGAAACATAATTAATACCAGCTTAGCCAAATGGGCAAAATAGAGAGCTGTAAGCGGAGTTTGCTCTGCAGGTTTGACGATCATGGTGCAGCCAGCAGCTAAGGCGGGGCTGGTCTTCATGAAGAACATGGTGCAAGGGAAATTCCATGGAATAATGTGTCCCACAACTCCAATGGGTTCAAGCAATGTGTAGGCCTGAAGCTCGCGTGACATTTTCAGCACGTCTCCATGGATTTTATCCGCCGCACCCGCGTAGTATCGGAGAGTGTTTGCCCCTCCAGGAATATCAGCATTTTTGTTCCAACTAAATAACTTTCCGGCATCTAGGGTTTCCAGAGTCGCTAGCTCTTCAATATTTTGGTCAATCAAGTCAGCAAACTTCAACATAATTTTTGCCCTCTCCTGAACACCATTCAAACACAAACAAATCATTTTTCAGAGCGACATTTCATTTTCAATTTAGACAAATTACGTTTTTCAATGCTAACCTCACATTAAAGTAGTACTTTGATTCTTCAATTATATTTTTCTCTTGATTCAAAAAAGATGTTTATTTTTCCTCTGGTCTCATAAAGAAAAAAAAAATGGCCTATATATATATATATATATTAGATTCTTCAGTTATTGTCTCTTTGTTTTGCTTATTAATATTTTGTGCACCTTGACTACATGTGAAGGCTTATTTATTTTTTGCCCTTTTAGATATATTTATTTTGATTAGTTTAATTCCATATTTACCATAAGCAAAACGTATAAAAACTAATTCCTAGGCAGAAAAATCCTATAAGACATGGACTACCAAACAAAAGATTCTTAATTAAGCTTTTAAATTAATATTTAAACAATGCAGAAGCCACTTTAACAATTTTTAGCGGAGAAGAATAAAAGTGGGAACTAAATAAGATTGGTTCCACTACCGAAGGCTCACTCTTGTCTCACATCCCTATTCAATTTAGCGGAGATGTAACATTTTCCAATAAAATAGCTAGGTAATTAGAATTCAAACATAGGGTATCAAAAAATAGATACGTTTTGAACCATTAAAAGTGCGGTTGGTTTGTGAGTTCAAACCATAGTTCATAATTTTTACGTTTAAAATTTAAATTTTTTATACAAAAAAATACACTGTAGCAGAACCAAAAATCATGATTTGAATCATACAAAACTTTTAAAACAAACGCACCTTAAATATAAATTAAACTTAGTTAATTTTTGCATAATTTTTTAATTTAATGGGTTCATTTTAACTAGATCTAAACAATCTGAAACATGCATTAGTGATCATGTTGCTTGTCTTCAGACAACCAACTAGTCACCCAAGTTGAATAGATTTTTCTTCGTAGCGCCTATGTACTAGAAACTAGATAGTGCTTATAGTATAATACTTTTTACGGACTTTTTATGGTACGTCAACATACCGGTAAATTAAGTTTTTTGCTCGTCATAATTGCATAAAATCATGTGAAAGTCAAAAAATTCACAGATTCAACGGTTAGAAAACCCTGGCCTACCGGTACGCCAGACGTAACAGAAAATCTTCCTACTTTTAACGCGCACGTTAAATCAAAGTGTGGTTCTATTCACACTCCCTATTTTAGTCTCTACATCCCCCTTCTAACTACACACCCCATATAAATTTTAAATAATCAAATTTTCTTTCTACACACACCTATTGTTCTAAAATTACTTAAAGATCGTATTATTTACACTCCTTTTTTCTCTCTACACCACATTCTAACTATACACCCTACCTAAACTAATTTACTACTTTAATATTATATAGTTTTATTTTTATTTTTTTGTTAGAACTTTATGAATATGGAGGGTTTCTTGTTTATTTTTTTTAAGTTCAATAGGGAAACAAAAAACAAATTAAAAAATAAATGAAAAGATAAATGAAAAAAATAAAAACATCAATTAAGCTGCATTATATTCATTGAATATTGATTAGACTTAATAGCAGATAAAAATGTAGTAAGATACTACCTCATGAGGAAAAGCATGAGAAAAAAAAATTTTAAAAAAAAAAAAAAAAAAAAAAAAAAAAAAAAAAACCAACCTCGTAGTCTAGCATTATAAAAAAATAGAAAAAAGTGAAATTATTAACTCAAAAAAATTGATTAGAAAACAAATATGAATACAAAATGAAAAATAAAAATTAAAAAAAATCTTAATATAACAAATTGTAAAGAAAATTGAACTACCTCCATATAATTTTTTAGAATAGTCATTGAAAAGTACAAATTATTTGCTATGTATGTAGGGTGTGTAGAGAGAGAAAAAAAGACTATTAATTTCTCTTTTATAATAAAATTTAATTTTATAATTAAGCCTATTGTCTTTTTGTCATTTTATTTAAGGGCCTTTTTGTAATAATAAATTTTTGATTTGAAGGAGTGTGGAGAGTAAAAAATGAGGTGTGAATAGAACACCCTACATCAAATAAGTGAAATAATACATAAACTTGATGAATTAGGTTACGTTCATTTTACCGATTCAAGTTTTGCTACAGTAATTTGCTCTATTAGTAATCTCAATTTTTAACCGTTGAATATGATCAAAATCACATCATATTGAAAAAGGTGTGCAGAATAAACATATTTTAATACATATTTAACGACTGAAAAATAAAAAACTACCAGTAATTTATTTTTAAGAAAATCCTCTTTGACTTGAAACAAACAATTTTTTTTTTTTAAATTTGAAAAACCAAACAAACATACAGGGAAACAGACAAAGAAAAACCCATTAGTTGGCAGCATCCCAACGATAGGAGACACACCATACTTCGATGTGAAATGATAGCTCATAGCTCCCATCAATAATGTCCCAAATAATATAAAGCAAACGAAGTATAAATTCAAATCATTGAAAAATGAGTGCAAATTAACCCAGAAAAAAAAAAGGAGAAATTTCTTGGGGGAATAAATATACATCCTACTAGTTATTGACCGAGTTATTTGATTTTTATCGAATTTCCTTAAATTCACATAGGGTTTAGTTGCAATTTGCATGACACGTGTTTCTAGAAAATCACAAACATGCATATATAATAGGACGAAAATGTTGATGAGGAAGGAAATATTAGGGGTTCGATGGATAAGAGAATTTCTTTTTCTTTGCTTGTAAGAGATTCTGAATCTTACAAGAGATATTTTTTTCAGCAAAGGAAAAGAACAAGAGATAATAATAAAACTTAAGAAAGTGTAACGTTTTGGGGATAACATTTAGGGGAGCAAACCTTAGTAGAACGGCTGTCCCTCCTCCAGTAATTTTCAACTTTATATTTATTATTATTATTATTTTGTCCTGACAACTTCGTCTTACACTTTAAAAACTACAATTAACTGCCTCTCAATTATCAAAATAAAAGTTATATAACCAATGAGACTAATAATTTCCAAGAAAATTGATTATACTAATTATTATATCCATCACTCTTGTTAGTGCAGATAAAAATATATACAGAAATAAGTCAAATAACAAAAGATGGGAAACAAGTTTTAAAAAAAAAATTCAGGGAAAAAGACATAAACCCAAATGATTCAAACTTTTATCTAAACTCATTCTCCTTAAATAAATTTGTGGTTCCACAAATACTTATCACTTCAGTTTATTGAAAATTGAGATAAAAATTTTAGTTTTTTTTTTTTTTTTTTTGAAATTTGATTGCCTTTCTTGAAACAAAATATCAATTTTTATTTTTGCGTACAAAAAAAAAAAGATTGGACCCCAAAAAAGGAAAAAAAATCAAGAAATTAGAAAGAGAGAGAAAAAGGAGACGTACAAAACCGGACAAGCGAGGCCAAGGACCATGGTCGAAAGCGGCACGGGCAGCTTTGACGGCCAAGTCAACATCTTCTCTGTTTCCTTCCGCAACTTTTGCTATTACCTCTCCATTTCTAGGATCTTTCGTCTCAAATGTTCTTCCTGTATTTTTTTGTTTTATTTTGAATTTTAGAATATATATATGTCACATAATTAGTACTATTTTTGTTAATAAAAATAGATATTAACTTTTAAGAAATGGGCTTTTAATGAACGGGACTATTAACTTATGCTCAACTACGATATATGTATATAGCTTCAAGTAGATATATACATATATAGGGGTCTTCAGAGACGACGTTATATACTGTTTTAGCAGGAAATTAACGAAAGACCAAGCGGGACCAATACACAAGATTTGATATATATACATATATATACATATATATACATATATATGTATGTAATTACCAAGAGAAAGTAGAACTGTTGAAGCTATAGGAAATAAATAAATGAAGATTGATTAATATTAGAGGTCAGCTTATAAGTTGTAACAAAAAAAAAAACACGCAGGAATGAGAAGAAAAAGAACCTGAAACAGAATCAACGAATTCGCCATTAATGAACAGCTTCGTGAACTTTATTGTCGGCGTATTAGTCTTCAGAGGACACTCTTTACTGTTGCCACAATCACTCCCCATATTTCTCTCTCTACCTCTTTCTGTTGTGCTTTAATCTCTCTCTCTCTCTCTCTCTCTCTCTCTCTCTCTCTCTCTTTCTCTCTCTCTCTCTAGATCTCTCTGCTATGAAGAAGAAGAAGAAGAGCATGCGTTCGGTTTGATTGATTTATATACACAAAAACCGTGAAATATACGTAGTATATACAGAGAAAGAAGTCGTCAGGGATCACGTAACGACAAGTCGACAGCGCAGACGTTATCTACGAGTAAATATAAATTTGTCTTTGGACTCCTTTGGGTGTATATACTCATGGTTTAACGTGTTACACATATTAAAGTAATTAATGGCGGCAATAGTATATATTTAACTAAATTCCACTTTTATTCTTCTTTTTTCTTAAAGAAAAATTTACCCTATCGCCCGTTATTTGCTCTGCCCATGTGCCGCGTTCTATTAGCCATTTTATTAATTTTCAATATTCACCTTAAAATTTATATATTGTACGACATTAAAAAAATAATCCACTCACAAATTGTTTATAATTAGTCTAATTAAAAATGTAAATAGAGAAAAAGTGTTCTAGGGAAAAATAATTTATTCTACAATTTTCACTTTTTTTTTTCTTGCATGATATATATATATATATATATATATATCTCTATATGTATATATTACTTTTGATTTTTCAGCACCTATTGGTCGGCAGTTCCTTGAGACCAGCTGCAAATTGTGGCATGTCAAGATCGTTGTTACCTTGAGAGAAGCTGCAAATTTTGACATGACAAGATCGTTTTGACCTATTTTTGCGGTCTTGTTCTCTCAAATTGTTAATTATCTATATTTATAATAAATAAATACACAGTTGTAAATAACTGAATAAACATGAAATAACCAAATCTAAGTAATCAAAAACTGCGCATTTGTAATTTATACCTACTTTTAATGTTAATTTCGTAAATTTAAATTTCTCATCTTCTAGTAAAACAAATAAAATAATATAATATAAAAAAGAAGAAAGCGACACGTGCATATCACACTCAACACGTAAACGTCACGGAAGGAAAAACAGATACAATTGAGAGAAATTGAACGGTGATGACGGTGTATGTACATGTTGTAGCAATTGGAGAAAAGAAAGTATTTAGGATGTGCGGTCAACAAAATACCGTTTGAGATTAACGATACTGTGGAAAAAGATATTTCGTCTCTGTATGAGTCCAATATAAGATGTCGTTTGTTTCGTGAATTTGAGTTTTCAATTTGAATTAAGATGTATTATTTTTTTAGAGTTTTTAACTATAAAAAACAAGTTAAATGTGACATTTTTTTTTAAAGTTTTTAACTGTAAAAATATAAAACTAAAAACTCAAATCGGTAAAATAAACGAAACTTAAAAAAAATAGCATGTGTGAAACGTACACTTTGAATGCATTTAAAAAGTATGGTCAATTTTTCTCTTTCTTTTGTGAGAGTGCGCAAGCTCGAATGCCTATGCATTACTCTAATATTTGTTCATTAATTGATATTAAACTTTCTAATCCGCTGGTTACAATAAATTAGATAATTAATTAAAAATTATATAATAATTAATAAAATTAAAATCTTTTATCGCATTATATCATTAAATTTTAATGTCTGACAAGTAATTATAATGAGAACCTAATCATTTAAGACTTCTCTATATATATAAAGATTAGCGACTATGTTTGAAAAGTGAAAGGGCATACCGGCAGTTTGCATGCCATAGTGTGGACCAGGCAACTCATTGAGGTAACTACTTTAGACCTCAGCTTGGGCCAAAGCACCCTTTCATTGACTATATCTATACACACACACACACACACATATATATATATATATATATTTATATGGAAAATAGTATATCTTCTTCTTCTTTTTAAACAGCTTCAAATGAATGCTATATACGAAATTTCAAGTTATTAATTTGTCGTAGCATCTCTCCTGAGGTGACCTTTTGGGTTGTCTTAATTGTAATCTCCTTTGTTTTTTCACATATTTTCGTATTTCGAACATAATTGATGTGCAAAAATCGCTTTGGTAAACAAGTAATAATTATCACGATAAAGATGTTAGGATACGAATTCTTACATCTATTACATATTACAAACCAACTTATTTTTGAATCCCCCATGTCTTCTAATCTTAGAATCTCTTAGTGCTTGTAAATTGTTAACGTCTAAAAGTGTCATATTAGTTAGTGAATAAAAATTGGCGCATCAATATTCTAGTGCACTCTTCTTAAATTGGACGGATTAATAATTATCAAAATGTAAGAAACAAATGTAATTTGATTAATGAGAATCTCAACAGTTTTCAAGCCCCGTCCACATGCGTCCTACTTCCTAATCTCCCTTATATAGTTCCGTACAAAATTACTATTTATTTAATTTTATTTTTTTTTAAAGGTGATGAGTGATGTTTCTTATGTTTCATAAACGTTATGATTGTTCAATAATAATAACTCGGAAACAAGTGCAAATCTAGGTCTTAGTGCCAATTAATTGCCTCGCATAACAACATTGGATACAGTCAAATCCCAATGGACCAAAAGAAACAAACTGAGGATATATATATATATATATATATATAATTGTGATATATATATAATTGTATGATATATTTCTCTCCATTTTCGTGGCTCAAAAGAAATGCATCTAGGGGATGATGCTCATTGACCTTGGTTCTCTCTAAGTTTAGGTTTGAGCTACCACAAAGTTGCAATAAGAAAATGATAGAAAATTTCGTAGTTTGAGAAGCCAAACAAAAGCATCAAATATTATTTTGGTCATGTGGGTCGGACTATACGACCTCTCTAATGGTATTATTTTGTCGAACTCCATGTACTTCTTTGCTTGTTTTTTAATATATGGTTTTCATGACACCGCTCACAAGTAGCAAAGTACTAGACAAAGTCCAAGAAGTTGCTACACATCTTCTTTTTGTCTTGTTTTTATTTTTATTTTTTTAAATTTAATATTTTTTTTCTCATTGATAATCCAAATGCCCATTTTCTTCTAAATATGAAAAGCTTAAAAAAGTATATAGGCCAATTTTTAGTTATAGAAATTAATAGGTCATAACTTGTCAAGTTATGGTTTATCACCAGATAAGTTATGGATAAACTTGTCAAATTATGGTTCATAATCAGACAAATTATGGACAATTATGGATAATAACTTGTCAAGTTATGGTTCATAACCAGACAAGTTATGGACGAAAATAATAATTTAGCTTATTTATTAACTTATGTAAACTATTGGCCTATTAATTTTAATTCATCTCAAATCTTGACCTATTTTCCTCTTTCTCCCTATATATATATATATATATATATATAATACACATATTATAATTTTTAAAAGTTTTGTCCAGGGCATAATTGAATTGGCGCTGCCCATACGCAAGTTTCTTCCACAAGAATCGAAGATGACTTGTTTAAAAATAATATTAGTTAAGACATTATATCAAAGAAATTCTGGTCTGACATGAGATTGGAGACACTATCTATGAAAGAAAATATTGCTTTCAAATACGATTCGAGCAATTGTGAGGTCCGCACATTTAAATACGTACTGAAGACAATGTGTACATAAAAATATGTATTTACCAACCAATAATGTCGCATAAATATGTACGCCAACCAATAATGTCAAAATAATACTATAAAATTGGCCATACCCTTATTAAAGAAGGCAAAAGAACGAAAAATCGTTCAAATGGATTTCAGCTGTGCAATATGTTTCATGGCCGTACGTGCATTATTTCAAAGTGTAACGCCATATTGTAGGCACTAGAGCCACAAATTTAGACTGCCTAGTGCCAAACGAGTGGCTTGAGGCTCCCATTATTGGGCCCGACCTGGCCTTACTGGTTCATTTGGTCCAACCAAAATTTGTAACTCTACTTTTGAGCATCTATTTGACATTATGAGGGCTGAGTTGGTCAAGCTATCAGCATCACGTGATTTCTATTTTATTTTTCCTGACTACACTTGGCTTGACATGAAAAATTTATAACATATAAAGTATTATTTACTCAAATCATGATATATGAAAAAGCTATAACTATAGAGAAAAGGATTAATTCCTAAAATCATGAATAAATCATCTAAAAGGATTCTTTACTCAAAAGTCAAAACGAAAAATAAAGATTACCTATGGGATTGTCTGATCATCGAATAGTCGAAGCTTAGTATAAATCCAACATTTATTATTTAAATGTATTCTATTTTATTACAGTTTGTGGTATAAATAGACTATTTTAACCACTAGAACCCTAATTGCGATTTTTGCACTCAAAGCTTTCCTCGTTATTTCTCTTTTATCTCATAGTGAAACCCAATAAACAAAGAACATAACTCTCTCATTGCGAGTAAATAACTATAAATCTCACGTGTCGACCTTTCTTTATTTTTTTTAATAATTTTTCTCTATGTTTTTTATGCTCAGTATGTGTGAGATCAATTTTGGTAAAAACATATGAGCATTCACCGAAATATCATGTATGACGAGTTTTTAACGTCAATAAATTTCAACGACTATATTCTTAGAATCACTTACTTCCAGCCTTCCACTAGCGAAAAAGCTTTACGAATAACAATCACCTCAGCTACACAAGGATAGATGAACGAGGGGAGGAGCCACACCTTTTTAAGGATAGGCGGCTACCTCACTTAAATTTTTTTTTCTTTTTGGGATTTTTTATGTATATTTTGCTAAAACTTGAATTATCTCCCTAAAAATATGGAATTCCATCCTTACTTAATATCTGAAACTCTTCACTTAATTTTCTGGCTCCGCCTCTGTTCATAGATAACCTCGAGTCCCAGTTGCAAGCACAATGCCCATGTTCATCCCTCGGCACACATCCCACACCAATATAACCTACATTTGGAATGTTGTTGGGCATTCACATTTATAGGATATTTGGTTGGAGGATTCAAACTATGTGATTCGAACCATTTTTTATTTACGTGTATTTTTTGTGAGAGAAAATACTGTAGCGAACCACGAATCATGATTCGAATCAGGGAACGAATCCCTTTACCAAACATCTTATTTTTAGTTGACCGGCACCAGAGAAAGGGCCGAGATTTGAATTGAGACATTAAGTGCAGAGAAGTTGTTAAGATAGGGAAAATATTTAAAATATTAATCATGATTCATGTGCTCTATCCATAAATTCTATTAAAATATTTATATTTTTATATCCTGTGTTTTAGATTTTTTCAAAATGTATATTTTCAGTTTTTAATTTCATCAAATGTATATCTTCAAATTAGATTTAATATACGAATCTATACTTTATTTCAGTCAATAATTGATTTTAACTTTTAAAATGATAAAACTATCCCAAAAAATGAGAGAAAAGAAACTAAAACTTTCCAACATTACAAACAATAAAAATTTAAAACACAAAAAAAAAAAATCCATTTCAATCGCATTTTGTATATTTTTGAGGTCAAAACTGTAAGTTTAAGGTTTTTTATTTTTTTATTCAAAGGTATTTAAAGTATTTCTAAGGTTAAAATGAAAGGTTAGATGTGGAAAGGTATAAATTTAGGTATTAAATTTAATTTGAAAGTATACATTTGATAAGATAAAAAACTGAATGTATAATTTTTAAATAAATCCAAAACACAAAGTATAAAAGGGTAAATATCTCAATTCTATTTTACGCAACTGCAATATTTTATTGAACAAACGTCTTTACGGCCAGATCTTATTCTTATGGTCCAAATTGTGCAACTTTTTTCCTCTGTAACGCAAACGACATGGATCATAAAGTTTGAAATCAATGTACGAAATAAACTAATGTCTCGTTCATTTTACCGATTCGAGTTTTTAGTTTTAAGTTTTTACAGTAAAAAGCTCTCAGAAGATGTTACATCTAACTTTTTCTGCTACAGTGAAAAGCTCTCAGAAAATGTCACATTTTAGCTCGAATTGAAAATTCAAATCTGCAAAGTGAACTAGACCTAAATAAAAAAAAAGTGAAATTTTTCGGTATGTTAATATACCGGTATGTTAAGTTTTTTATCCGTTAAATATATATAAAATTACATAAAAGTTAAAGACTATACAAATTTAAAAGTTAAAAAAATTTAACTTATAGGTACGTAGATGTAACATATAATCTCTCAAAAAGAAATCATATAATATTTTCGTATGCTAAAATGATAGTTTTCTCCACAAATTCCAGAAACATTTTGAAGATATTGTTCCAGTTACTCATTCTTTTATTTTCTCTCTCCTCAAGTATGAGGAAAAGAAGAATTTATTTGCTGAAAAGGAAATCAGAACATAAAATTCATACTCGCCCAAGATTATGAAAAAACATTTCATTGTACTTCCGTTTCTCACCGTTTGGTATTTCATCATTGTACTTCCGTTTCTCACGGTGAAACAAAGGACATTTATTTCACCAATTTAAGTTTTTAGTTTTAAGTTTTCATAGTAAAAAATTCTCAAAAAATATTAAATCTAATTTTTTCTGTTACAGTAAAATACTTTTAAAAAATGTCACATCTCAACTCAAATTAAAAATTTAAATTTATGAAATGAACGAGACCAAAGACAACTTTTCAAGGTCAAACATTATTAAATATACTAAAAAAGGCATGATTTACTGTGTATAGTACAATGAAATATCAATTTTATCCTTTAAATTTGAATCGTCGAATTTGTCATTTTTTTTTTCCTTTCTTCTCCTTTTTTTGTGCAGGAGCTTTTGAGTCTTTTTTTGCCATAGTCTTATTATACACTTTTATTCTCAATTTTTTATTTCTTTATTTGTTCTTGTATTTACTAACTAATATCAATTATCAATAAAAATCAATATTTATTATTTTTATCATTTCAAATATGAACCAAAGGCAACATACCCACTTAAAAAACGCTCAAGAACTATATAATATAACTACTTCTAAATTTTTTAATTTACACTACATATAATTAAAGATTTTTAACTTTTTTAATTATTATTATTAATTTTTTTTTAAAATTTGTACTTCGCAGTTATAAGAACAAAAGAAAAAACAAAAACAAAAACTACAGTACATTATAAGAAATTTTTAACTAAAATACTATATAGATATATTTATATGTAAACTAATTCTAACTATAAAAATTCTCAACTTTTTTATAAAATACAACGGTATAACAACACGCAGGGTTTTAGTTAGTAAATTCTATTATAGTTATTAACGATAGCTAGCTTCCTACCTCTTAAGTTTCGATATGAATAATGTTAAGGATATTAATTTAAATTTTATTTTTTATGTCTCAATTAGTGTGACATGTAAATTGTTATTTATTTACTAATAGATACAATCTCTTATCATTAATTGACGTAACGATATATTAAACATTTTCCCTATCTTAACTAGTGACCAGTCTTTAGGAAAATATCAAGAACAGAAGAGAGCCATGATTTACTTTCAACTTCCAAGTGCCAGAGAAGAGAGATAAAGAGAGGATGAAAAGGAAACAAAAGATGGAAGAAAACGACACTAGAAGGGGGCACTCTTAAATAAGGATGGGCCCATGTGAAGATTATAGGGAAAAAAAAATAGATTATTTTATCTCTTTGATCCTTGGCCAAAAAGACAAGACATACATGACACTCGTTTAGCCATTTTCCTTCTAAATTATTGGGGATACCGAGATGGTTGATAACTTGGTGGAGCAGGATTGGCATAATCATATGTACCATAGCTGGTCTGGCCACTGTAAGAACCACTGCCGCGAAATGGAGCACCACCGGCACTCATGTTGTCCCCGAGGTGGGGGTACTGGTGCTGAGGAATGCCTGCAGGGCTTTGGGTATGGGGGACCCCATACGTCGAGGCATACGGGGATGGAGCAGGAGCATCGTAGACGCTCTGAACAGGGTAATTGTGGGGCCCAGAATATCTTGCGATCACAGGGCTACTGCGTGCAGGAGGAGGATTCCCATTCCTCCGGCTAAAGGAGGGGTAAGCGTTGGAATACTTGGCCGCTTTTGCAGGGCGGGAAGAAGATGATCCGCCACCACCTCGGCCACCGCTAGCACCACTGTAGCCTCGCTTGTTTTGAGTTTTACTGGAACCAGCCGAGCTCTTTTTCCTTTCAGCCTTGGCTTTCTCTATATGAGTAGCTCGCTTTCTCAAGTTATCAACGGAAAATTCTGATTCGAGCTTGTGGTCTTCTACACATTTGATTATTGCTCTGATGGAATTCAGCTCCAGATTATTGGATTCCTCCTGTGGATTAACTTGCATTAGGAAATCTCAAAAGAAGCGCAGAAAGCATGTGAAACAAATAGAAGAGAAAAAAGGGGAGATGATAAATTGCAGACAAACCATTGCAGACAAGTTATTATTTCCATTCTTTAATATATTTGAAGCATTCTTTTTGGAGTTTTGAAGAAATGACTTGAGCAGAGCAACAGGAGAAAATCTTTCTGTCAAACCAGATTCGGAAGCAAGATAGATAGCTTCTATCTCTTTGCCATTCTTCACCAACTCATCGATGATATCTGCAAAATCATAAAACTCTTAATTCCACGAAGCTTAAACTAAAGTTTTCACTTCAAATCTGGAGCTTCTTAGCTTTAATTATAGAGCCAAATATTACGAGCACAACAAGATGTTCTTTTTACACTCGCCTTTCGTGTCATAGAACTCTATGTCTACCTACTTAAAAAAGAAAAAAAAAAAAACTTTAAAATTGCTATAAACCTTTTTGTCCTAGTTATGATTCTAGATCCAACTCCCTCTTTCATTGTTTTCAAACATGTGTTTTCTTAACCTACTTAGTACTTCCTTTCACCCATCTTTCCTAACATATATTCAATTCCCTCTTTCATTGTTTCAAATATGTGCTTTCTTAACCTACTTTCCTTTCACCCATTTTTCCCAATCATATTCCATTCATCGAAGACTGGCTTTCGAGGATCAAAAGGGCTCCCAACATACGTGTAGACTATAAGTTGAAAAGATATAGAATGGACAATATAATAGCTAGAACCAAAGTCCAGACTGTGCAAAACCACTTTCCACCATTAAAGACTCCTAAAGAATCAAAGCCTCAAAACTCGCAACGAACCATTAACAAGTACTCCATTTTACCATGCCACTGTTTAATGCAATTTCTTACTTCTACAAACTCAAATAATTCACGCCTTCTAGAACACCATCACAACCCATATACAATTAGTCTGCAAAAGCCATCATCCAACCATGAATTTCTCGATTCTCATGGACCACTACCCACATAAAAGATTGCAACTTTTGCAATTCCATTCCTAAACGCACCACTACCTATGAATTAAACGCAGAACTTAATATATGATGATGAACCACATCAAACATTGGACATGAAGATAATCTGAGACAAAAACTATATATAGGTTCCAAATGTAGCGAGAATAAGTTCTATGAAGAAGAAACAAACCTTCCATCTTCTCTTTACTCTCCAATTGAGCGGCGAGCTTTGCCATATCCCTCCTCGCCGCATGTTCCATCACTATCTTCTTCAAGAACTCCTCGTCGAACTCCTTTCTAAGCCAAAACCCGACCACCATCTGCACAAACATTACCGCTTCCGCAGCCCCAAGACTTGAACCTCCAGATTCGCCACCATCAATCTGCGCCTTCCACCGCTCCAAAACCTTGGCAGCTCTGTCGACGACGCTCCTCGCGAAGCGCGGTCCTTCCTTGCCCGAATTCCATTCCAGAAACAATGCCTGAACCAGCAATCCGCACGCCCATCGCTTATCGGTAACTCCAACTTTCTTGGACTTGGAATTCACAAACTCCTCCAACGAGCCGAGAACCAAACTCGGCGGGTCCACCGCCTCCGACAACGAATCCCCGATCTCCGATCTCAATGAGATGGATTCCTTCCTCTTCGAGACGACGAAGCTCAACAGTCCCGACGAATCCATTCTCCGGGAAAACGATTTCAGCGCCTCGGAGAGTTCCGAATTCGCGGGAATTTGCTTCTCAAACTCCGCTAAGGCTGAATCTTTCTGTTCCGCGATTCGGGCGGCGGCATTCGATTCGTGATCGGGGATCGAGCACTCGCGGCGGTCGAGGGACTCTAGGGTCCGGCGGGAGTGGGATTCTAGGGCTTTGATTTTGGAATCCAATGATTGGTGCTTCTCGGAGAGGGATTTTTGGAGGGAACTGAAGTGGGAGGTTAGGGTTTTGAAGAGCTGAGTGCATGTGGAGAGAATTGTCTTCTGAGCCTCAAGGTCGTCGAGGAATTTCTCGACTCTCTCCGTGTTCACGACCAATTCGGTCGCCATTGGAGGCGGGAGAATGGGAAAGGCGAGTTCTTGGAGGTCTCTGAGTTCGAGAATCGAATTTTCTGAAAATGGTGAAAAACCCTAAACCCCAACTTTGTTCATGACGAACAACAAGAAGAGGAAGAAGAACAAGATGATTGGTTAGATGAAATGGTAAAGCGAATTTATATGCAGTTGACAACTGAGGTGTGAAACGGTGTCGTCTTAAGAAATTTTAATCATCTGCTATGGGAACGGTGTCGTTAGTGTCCTTGGATTTTGCCTGGAAATTCGTATTTTTTTTTATAAGAAATTTAACTATTATATAAATTGAATAATTTTATTTTCAAGAATATAAAAAATTCTTTTCATTTTAACAAATAGTTCAAGAAATCACGCCTTCACTAAATTCCGTCAAAAGAGGCTAGTGAAATGGTGAAATTATCCTCATTTAGTTGATACAATGAGTTTTTAAAGTAGGATCTTAAAACCAAAATTTCCAGTCTTTTAACAAAATGGTGTTGTTTACTACATTTCTCGTACTGGAATAGTGTGCTTGGATTTGTTGCCTTGTGTTTTGGGACCTTATGTGAATTTTGATATTTCCAACTTCATTTTCACCTTAAAAAAAAAAAAAAACCGACTCCTATAAACTTGCAATGTGGTTTAATTTGTACTAGAAAAACCAGGAACCAAACAAAGGTATTGTACACTATGGATTATGGCTGGTAATATGGGTCACAACACGACTCGAAAACGACATAAATTTTGCGGGTTAGGGGTCAGAATTGGGTCGACCTGAAATTCACACGAAAAATACGGGTCAATTTCGGGTTGGACTCGCCTAACCCGAACACGACACGAAACTCATAAAAAACTAAAAAATACATATATTTTTCATTGCATATTTTAAATTTTATTATGAACTTGTGATATCATGATAGTTATACTCAAAATCTTATATTATTATTTACTTAATTTCAATGGATGTTATTGTAATTCAGGGTGTTATGAATTTTAAGTTATTTCTAATATATAAAAAACTAAATAAAAGTATACAATTTTCGTGTCAATTTCAGATTCACGGGTCAATTTCGTGTCACGGGTCATTTTCGAGTTGTGTCGTGTCAACTCGTAAAGTAGTTGTGTTGTGTTCGTGTTGCGGTTTTTAAAAAATTTTGTGTCACGGGTCTAGTTCGGATTGACTGTAAATTTTTAAAAAAATGATCAAAACACGACACGAACACGACAGATGACACGAATTGCTACCCCAACCACCGTGGATCTTTGATTACCATAATAATTTAAGACGACAGTTTAGCTACATTAAAAATTGATACACCACGAGGCTACAATTCTTATATGAATGTGACAGTCGCAGTCGCAGCAGTAGCCTATGACCGCTTCCTTTCCTCTCTTTTTTTTCTTTTTTTTTGGAACTGAAAATAACTTTTTCCTTTTCGTGAATAAGGTGAAAATTCTCCTTAAAGGCATTTAAACAGCTTTTGGAGCAAATTGATAAGGGGAAAAATAAAGGAAAAAATTGGCTCAAGAACTTGGTATATCACCAGTTATAGAAAAACATCAACTAAATTACATATACCTATATATATGTGTGTGTGTGTGTGTGTATAAGCCATGATATGTATATATGCCATGGCAATCATCCCTTACTCAATTAACTATTTTAAATTATCAATATTTGATAAGATACTGGTGTTTTAAAGATTTAAACTGATAGATGGTAATTAGTATGATCGATATATATACTTGAACAATACGTGGATAATTTAGCATTACCTTAAAATGCCTTGTGTATATGTAAAAATTACAAAAAAAAAAAAAAAGAAAAAGAAAGAGACAATTAGCAATAGAATAGATAGACAAAAGAATATAGGGGTTGTTTGGTTCAACAACTCAAATTGTAGAGATTTGAACCTTTTTAGTTAGAACTATAAAATTTGAACTGTGGTGATGTAAACTGTGATCACAACTGTTGTTTAAATATACAAATAAATTGTAATTTAAATTGAGAATAAAATATGCACTGTGTTTGGATAAAGTGTTGAAAACTCTCATTAGAGTTTTGTAACAAATCTTATAAAATCTCATTATAAATGACATTAAAAAATATGCAATATGGGTAGAGATTTCTTCCTCTCTTCATTATGAACACATAAAAAAAAACATCTCAATTTGAATCAAAACGAAGAAGTTATGACATTTTTAAGATTGAAATTGAAGAGAGAGAAAAAGTAGAATCTGAAACTATTAGACTGTTAACAACAATTCATATTGTTAGAATTTAGGGAGTGAGGTGGATTCTAAATCAACAATTTGAGTTGTTCTTGAACTATTATTAATAGTTTGAATTATCTTTAAATTTTGTCTCAAACACCAATTTAAATCATGAATTAAGATTTAAATTCTACGTCTCTCTTGGCTTTGATTCATACATTCTCATGAGCTTCAATATAGCTGTGTATATATATGCTGGCTGGCTAAACTCGGAAGAGTTATGATATTCAGCTCAAAGTCCTAACTCTGACGGGCATTATATTAATTGCCCACTTCATGCATTGGTGGGTTAGATGACTTTCTTTTTCAACATTTAATGTTCATGTATTCAATATCCTCCTATTTTTAAGAACTCATTAATGTCAGCAATATTCTTCCTTTGCATTTGGCAATTATTTGATTTGATCACCTCCGTATATACAAAGTCTAACTCTCTCTCTCTCTCTCTCTCTCTCTCTCTCTCTCTCTCTCTCTACTCTGACTTGTATACATGTGTTTTACTATTTGTCTCACTTTGGTGCGTGCTTTCTGATGTATTCCATGCCTTTCCAACTAATTATTTAATAGATATCATTTCTCAAAGAAAGGCCAATATTTGCTTTAAGAATAAGTAGTACTTCATGACCCAGTAAAAGCCACCGTCTTCTTGTCAGATCACGGAGAGGGCCAATTTTCATTGGTAGCCACCCAATATCATATATACATTTCCTTTTGTTCTTTTTCTATTTATTTAATTTCTCAAAAAGAGAAAAATTTCGACTGTTTTAAACGATTAGTTTTGATTAATAAACAGAAAAAGTTTAATGTTAAGTATTGCAATTTTTTAACGTAAATACTCGTAAATTAACTATTAAAAAATTAATCTAATGATTAAAACAACAGTTCTACCGGTAACGAAAAAGGACAGTTCATACACTAGAAATTCCCTTTTTATACATCCATGCCGAATCTATGTGGCCATGTCCTTTGAGCCGTTGAAGTTGCTGTCAAGTCCAAGAACAGTTAACTGCTACATAGAAGCCAGTATACATATGAAAACAATAGTTACTGGATCTTCTTTTCTTCCCACCACAATGATTCAATGAATATTACTTGGTTTCTAGCCTTATTTCAGCTCTAAAACTGTTCTTTTGTCCATAGTTTTAAGTTTATATTGGTCTTGAATAATAAAATCAAAATTGAAACATATAAGCATGCGTGATTCTTGCCAAATAGTAGTAGTTATTATATAGTAACTTAATAAGTAGCCAAATCATTAGCTTCCAAGTTTACTGCTTCTTAATTTACTGATAATCTGACAAAGTAATATTCCTTCTCTTTAAGGGGAAAAAAAAATAAAAAAATAACTTCAAAACCTCTCTACTTTTTCTTTTTCTTTTTTTTTTTTCACTCAACTTCATACATTAAAGCTGCAAGATTCGATATGATAATCTTCACTCATGAAAAGGAAAGCCATAGGATTCTTGTAACTATCAACTTAGACTACTTAGTGATATGAAAAGTGATAAAAAAAAATAAAAAAGAACTAGATCATTAATTTGGAAGTTTTTTCTGATTCTACTTTGAATGGTTCTAAAACTAAAAGCATCTTCTTAGTCAACCATTTATCTTGTATTTAGATCTCTCTGGATTTTGACATTAAGAAGAATGACAACAACCACCAATAATGTAGCTGATAACTTAATTTCTCTTCTTTTTCAAGCTAAAACTAAACTTAATTTTATGATATATAAATAGAAAGAAGATAACTTTTTTGTTTTTGCTATCAGAAACTACTTTGATCTCTGAGAGTAGTCTAAAAGTAGCAACACAAAAACATACATACAAAATCCACTAATTATTCTCTACTGATCTTTCCTTTTCAAACCATTTCCTTGTCTAGCTTAACAAGAATATTCTTATTAGAAGGATCTGCGAACCGGAAAGAGAAGGACCTTGAGATGTAATCATCATGATCATCAGGCTCATGATCATGATCATCCCACGCAAACCCGCGGTCGAAATTCTTAGAGTAGCTGCTCGGATCGTAGGGAACAAGTCGTCGAGGATTAACCCGCGACGACTCGAAGATCTTCCTCATCTTTTCTCTCCTGAACTTGATCCAAAAAAATCTCCAACTCAACTTGTAGGGAGAACTAACTGATGAAGACTCATTGTAGTATCTTCCTAATCTGATGCTTCTTCTTCTGTGGCCTGAACTGCACCACTTTGTGATGTCCATTTTTCAGCTATACCCTTTGGATGCCCAAGCTTTGTGGTGGTGTATATATAATGGTTCTCTGCTTAAACCTTCACACCGGACTCCAAAAAAAGTGAATACAAATTGTGTCTATAAAAGGACAATGTTATGACGAGCACATGGTATTGGACTAGAATAATCCTTATTCCTTTTTTTTTTTTTTTGGTTTAATATAGTCCAAGTTGGCTAACTGATATAAGAGTCAGCTCAGCCGTAAGTTCAATGTGAGAAAATAATAGAATAATAGAAAAAGATAGTGCATTTAGCCATCTATATCCAAGTTGTTGAGTAAGGTAGCTAAGACTAGATTGGTAGAGTTGTTCTAGATGCAGGGTAAGGAGATCTATTTTTCTTATTATTATTATTAGGGTCCTTCAATGGTCCAACTTGTTGAATCCGATGTAGAATGTACAGTTTTTTATATAAGTTTTTTATATAAATCTTATGAGTTTTAGATGGTTCATTTTCTCCAAAGACCTACAGTCGAAATCCCCTAATTATTAATATTATTACAAAATCTTTCTCCGGATAACGTGGATCCTATTTTGCATCACGTGATGCACGTGACCATCTTGAGGGTCGTATTCCAATACCATGTGGAGAGGGAAGCGTTGATGAGAGCTTTGTGTTTGACTCTAGGACTTTTTATAATTAATCAAATAATCACAATTACCCTACTCTACTTTTGGACAAAGACTTGGTAAGAGAGTATTGAAATGAAAGAAACCATTTTTTTTTTTTTTCAAGTAGCAAATACCAAGAGTATTGGATATTAGATTACTAACATTGGCTCAACATATTTTCGTGGTCATTTTATGACTTCTTACAAACAACAATGGAATTCTTTAATAACAGAAGAGTCAACAAAAAATTCCTTAGGCTGGAAAACTTTTGTTACCAGAAAAATTAGTGCTCTCCCTGTGTTTCTCTTCCAAACTCAAATGTAACTATAAATTACATCTTTCTTCATATTGGATATTGCACATCTCTGTGTTGAAAGGTAAGAAAGATTGAAGCCTCTTATCTCTCAGGAACTATACAAACTTTTTTTTTTTTTCTTTTTTTGGGTGGGGGTTTTAAGCAGCCTTCATCAAAACATAACCAGAAAAGATAATCCCTGGCATTTCAAGCTCTCTCTACAACTATGTTCTTCAACAAGGTATGCCTGAAGAACCATCTTTAGCTGTACCTCTTTAGAACAATCTGTCCCACCCATAAAGCCTGGCAGATAGTAGATTACGGCGAACCCGATCACCTGAAATTATTAAAATAGTAACAGAGTCAACCCCATAATTTGTGGCGAAGTGAGAACGGTCGAGAACGGGCTCTAGTTAGTATAGGAGAATCTCATCTTGTAATCTGAAATTTAAGGCCTTGTAAGAAAAGAGAAATGTATTGATAAAGAAAGATATTCAACCTGGCCATAATAATATGCGCAATATTTTCTTCCAAATCCAAATTTCAAGACGCTGTTCTCCCATAGCAAATGGCTGCAATGTACAGGTTCTTTGACCATTTGTCCTGCAATGTAGTCAAAATAATTTAAAAAAAAAAAACATAATTGGATAAACAATTCTACCTGAACATTTTGAGCTTCATTAAAAAAAAAAATCTATAATAGCTAATAGGCATATAGCTATTAGCCTTAGCAGCAACTCCAAGAATGTTTCACATGGAAGACATAATAAATAAACTTGGGGCCCGTGTAATTAACAACGTAACTAATTTCATATGGCTTTTATTTAGAATATTGACATTTGACGCATGTTTCCCAAACCAGAAACCCAATTAACTTAACTTGACTACTTAAGAGTTCAGACGTCATGGAATGACACTTTTTTTTCATTAATTAACACTTCCTACTTAGCAAACAAATAACTGGATGGCCCTCCCAGATCCAATGAACCTAGAATCTGTAGGGTTAACTTCAAAAAGTTTCTTTTTAAGCAAAAATTCTAGAAGTTAATGACAACTTCTAACTCCTCGTTTCCAATTCATTGCATACAATGAAAGGTTTTAGCATAGATAGAAGCTAAACAAAATGAAAGCACTTAAGATTTCACCACAATGCCTAATATTTAATGAAAGATGATGGGGTTTAAGATCTCTCTCCCTCTCTCCCGAAAAAGGGTCTAAGGAGCTTGAAAACCTCAACTTTCAACAAAAAAGCACTTTTCATAACGGGAATTCTTTAATAGAGAACTCTAATTCACAAGCTTAATTAGTCAAATAACTAAAGCAAAAACTACAGAGAAATCTACATGAACGGGGTATAGAATCATAAGACACATGGATAAGAATTCCCTAACTTAATTGTACCTTAACATGTGTAGCCGGAAAAGCAGACGTCCGAAGAGTTTCTTGCGCGACATCTGGCATTTTTCTCTTGGGTACACTGAGTATGAAAGCAGCCTGATCAGCTGTTGCAGCAGTGGAGGTAATCCGATACCCGCTCTCCCATCTTTTATGGATCCCTTCACTTGGATATAGAAAATCGAGTTCCACAACCTAATATTACAGAGCGTAAGACTTCTGCGGTGTTACCAATAAAAAATGATACGACAAATGCAACCAAGATTGGAATACCTGACTCGAATAACCTGCGTTTCGCGACATCACAATGCCCCATTTGCTACCTGCCGTGGTCATGCATGTAACAAAGAAGCCCTCTTTCCACTTCTTATTGATCCATTTGAACGGAAATACATCGCTGACTTTGTAAGACTGCTGAGTATATGGTACACCTAGCAACGGCAAGAGCAAAAACAGAAGTCAGAAACATTAGGCAGCTAAAGAAAGAGAAGACGATAATTTGAGCATTAGACAAAAAGCAATCCATGACATCACTTGATATAGGTAATTGTTGTTTGAATACTCAGTGCTATATTTTCTTTGTGGAAGAGACTTATTATTATGTTATAATGGTTTTGCTGTACTCCAACATGACACTAATAGGACGACAATTGAATATTAATGAAAAGTTGTAAGTTAAACCAAAATTTACGGTCCTTCATCCATGTCCAATGAGACAAATAACTATTTACGATATAGATGTGCAGGTAAATTGAACTTTAACTAGACTTGATCAAAACAACTCTTTTTTATTTGAGATTCTTTAAGAGAGTTCTTCAAGGCACCATTTTCCCAAGGCGAAAGCCAACAATAAGGGTCATGTAACCGAGATAGCGATTGTTAGAAGGAAACAAATAATTTCTTCAAACATAAAAGGTGAAAAATCACTCTACCTTGGGACATTACCACCAAGGCACTACCATTACATGCACCAGCAACTGACGTGATATAGTAATTCTTGTCCCATTGGTCCATTATCCACTCCTGATGATATGAATAAGAATTAACTTGCAAAGCTACAGCATAACTAAAAGAGGCAAAGGTATAGAAAGGAATTTCAAGAACACCAACCTTGTGCAAGAAAATGGGTGATAGTTCAAAAACCTGGGCCGAGTAACCTGTTCCTGCATCCATAACGAGGGCCCACATACTCAAAGAAGAAGCCACAGAGCTAATATACAAACCGTCCTCCCTCCCTTTATCAACATGCTGTTGAAGTCGTGAATCGACAACATTGAAGTGATATCTGCAACAAAGTAGTTCCATTTACTTGGCGATAATGGAATAAGTGCATAAATTTACAGTTGGTGGAAATCAAGAGCTACAAATAAACATAAATCATAAGTTATATTTTGCCTTGTAAATAATTGACCGCACCCATACATGTAGGTTAGTTTTCAAATTCCATTTCTAACTTAGCGCAGACCAGAACTAGTCTAAATGAAGATCATGTTTTATGGAATAAATAAATAATCCAGAAAAAGACAGCCTCAGTCTAGAAGCACAAATCTACTCAAGGATACAAGAAAAATACTATTCTATATGTCTCAGTACATTAAAACAGCCGCATAGTGTAGGATCCAGTAATTCTATTTTTTGACATGTGACAATTCTATTCCACTATCACACTTGTGGTGAAAAATAGTGGTGGTGAAAAATAGTGGTGCTCTCTCTACAAGTAATACTAATTATTTCTGACAAAACATTAAGGCCTGATAAGGCAGGTCTGTGATTACAAAAATTTTAATCACTATGATTTTTATTTTTATTTTATTTTATTTTCAAGCAATCACCAAGAAAGTTACTTGTTCAAGCATTACGAATAACAATACAAAGGCTATTGGTTTTCTACTTTTCCACCACAAGTAACTTAACAAAGGAATTTATGTATATTGAGACTGTAAATCATAAAACCCAAGTAAATGAACAAGGATGGTGACGTTACCAAGGCTGCATTTCTAGCATGTGAATGTGTTAGAAATGTAAAGAGAAAACAAATATATATATATATATATATATAGAAAGAGAGAGAGAGAGAGAGAGAGAGAAGAAGAAGAAGAAGAAGAGAAGTAGGCCAGAAATTCTGCATGGTTCACTTGGGTTGGCATCAATTACCTCTGCTTCATTGGTGATCTATAATTATAAACTGAGATCCACTGAGTAACTGGACTGCCTAGTCGAATTCTCTTCTTAGGCGGCCCACCATCTTCTAACTCCACATGCAATCTTCCTCTTTTTAGACCAAACTGTATTTCATGAAGACCACAATTATTTTACAAAACACTCATATGTGGTAAACACATCATGGAATTCTTTTTACTGAGACGTTTACTCAGAATCCTTTGAGGTGTTTACTAAATGCTTTAGTGAGGAGGAATCAATATGTTTACGAAAAGACAAGATAACAACCTTTGCTGCCCCATCAGTTCTGATTGGTCGCAGTGATGCATTGGAACTTATGCTACCATCGAAAAGAGAAATAAGCTTCGAATAATTCGGTTCTTCCTCAAATTTCATGTTGGTCACCATCTCAAGGAATTTATGGAAAGGAGCAGGACACGAGCCGCACAACAACTCAGAAGAAGTTGCCATCTTTCTCTTACAAACAAGAAATCCTTTATTCTCTCCCTGAATACCAAGAATCCACAGGAGCTTTACGAGTGAAGTAAAGAAAAGGAAGGTAGCAAAAGTAAGAATTTGCAAGCGTGCAAGGAAAAGTGGAAATTGAGATGAACTCACAACATAGCCCTGCCAGGGAAGTTTTCCTTTAAGTAGGAATATTAAAGTGTAGGCTAGTGACTCAAGATCATCCCTACGGCTGCCTGTTCTACCCAAATGAGCATGTACACTTGCGTAGCGTACAGTTCCCCTACCAAAAGTAATAAAGTATATCAGGCTATTTGAAGATCCAGGTAAACTGAAATGCAAAAAAGAAACTTTCCTTTTCTTGGTAACAATCTTAAACATGAGCGTCCACCATGCACAGCCTTATTGAAGGAATTACTTGCCTGAAAACATCAGGCTTTTGGTCATAATCAACATGACGACCGGAAGATGAATCCCTCCATTTTGATGCTGAAGAAGAAGATACACTAGATAAGTTTTCATTCACTTACAGAAGCACCTTATACAATAGTCTAGTCTTTTCTTTTCTGTGCAAAACTCGTCTACCCAAAAAGACTTACCCAAACCAAGATCAATAAGATACAACTTTTTCTCATTAGGTGTTCCGGGTAGACCAAGCAAAAAGTTTTCAGGTTTAACATCTCCATGGACAAAACTGGAGTTGAAATCAAGCAGCAAGGAACTTGTCAGAGTAGGGTATTAATTTTTTTTTTTTCTTTTTAAGAAGAATTATTAGCAAGGTACCCTTTCAAATGAAGTTGTTCTAGAATTGATATTGCCTCCACTGCTATACAAGCAACTGTTTCTTCAGACAGCCTTAAGAGGAGAAGTAAAGTTACTAAGGGATAACCACAACATAACATTTTAAGAATGTATGCTTTGTAAAGAATTGACAGTGAAAATTGGAAAAAGATGAGAAGAAGAAACTGAAAAGAAAGGGGAAGAAAATGACACAAAAATTTCTTACATTTGGTTATTAGAGTTCCAAAGATCCCATAAACTTGGCCCTAGTATGTCCATGACCTGTTTTAAGAATCGATAATCGTTATCGCATATATCAAATGGAAAAAAGTTTCAAACTCAAAAACACGTTTGAAAAACCAATATAGATAGGATAGAAACTCACTAAGATATAGTAGTCCTCTTGTTGGCCTTTATAATGGACGAGGGGAAGTCCATAACAACCATTGAGATTGCTTCATCAAGTTTTAAACAGAAACATCAGTTAGGTAATAATAGTTAATGATTAACAACAATAAAAATGAACTTCTTTTATTTACCTGTAGACTTGCCACTCATATGGTGGACCATGACTGCAGCCTTTACTATTTTTATGCTCGAGCTTCAAAGCAACCTACAAAAAGTCATGGGAATAGGCGAATAGCCATAAGCAACATAACCAACTTTCTTAACAAACTGTAATAGAAATGCATCTTATGCATGGACGAACTGAAACCTCAAAGGCGTCAGGCCCAACGCCACCAATACCACCAGTCACCCTTCTTCCCACATATACTTGTCCAAAACCGCCTTTTCCCAACTTCCTGTCCAACTTGTACACGGGAGAGCTGCCAATCTGCACCTGAAAATAAGATTTGAAACACTATCCATGTTAGATAAATACAAACTCAATCATAATCTACATGGAGAGAGAATTTTTGGAAGTTATAGCTATATCTATAGGATTCGTCATTTTAAATCAGCAAAAACAGACTTCCACAAAGGAGTGGTAAAAGCAACTGATTTATTCAAGTTAAACCTAGTTTAACCAATTATTTTTGCCAACAAGACTGAAACTCAGTAATGTTAATACCATCAGAATTGAATTTTAACCTATTCCAAAATGTGCACAAAATCAATGTGAGTTACTAACTTACTCGTCTTGGTATATAGGAAACAACCAAACGTTAAAATCACCAATATGGACATATTCTTTTCTTTTACAAATGAACGAGAAAGGCCAAACATAGATATTTATAAAGTCAATAAGCTTTAAAAAGAGAGGACGGGGACAGAAAGGCCAAAAGAGTACCCTCTCAGGAAGTGCACTTGTGCTTCCCTCATCGTCAGTGGCTGCCAATTTGGCTGCGCTTTTCTGAATTACCAACTCATCCCGAACGGCTAATAAATCTCCTACCGGCATATCTAAACCAGTATGTCCCTGACCACCCACTCCCGCGCCAAGAAGCTTGGTATTCTTATTTTGATTCGTAGCTCTGGTGCCCCTTCCTCTACCTCTACTGGTTGGACCTGTACTTCAACAAAAAAGACTTTGAGGAACTGGATTTCAAAGAGAAACTACAAAAAGTAGGCTTTTAGGTCCCTTACCTATTCTAGCACCAGGAAGAGCAGGTGGAACTAACATAGCAGGATTCTCTTGCCCGTTATTGACCCTCTTCGATCGTCGAACTCCACTTCTCAGGTCTGCCATCTTATTTCACGCCCAAAACTGCTCTCTTCTTATCCAACCCAAAAGTTTTGAAGAAGTAAAGGATTAAATAGCTCAACCTAACAAACGGACAAACTTACGTCACTATAAACCCTTGGCATTCTTCAAACAAGCTTTCTAATAGAAGCTATATGTCATGTCTAATGGCATGAAACTATGAACCTTTAAGACTTAAACCTCAAACACAGGACATGATTTCTCCACCAAGCAGATAATAAACACTTGAAAATCACTTGTATAGGAAAAAGTATGGACCTTTTGGACCTATATACTATTTAGCAAAAAATGTGCATTATGATTAAATGGCAAAATAGCATCAAGGCATGACAAACTGAGAGACACACTTAAAATAACCGTTCTACATTGCAATGCAGATTTAATTCTAAACCCAAATCCTATAAGATTCATCTTTTATAACAAAACCATTTTGATGAAATATTGCCCCATTGTCGATGAGCATCCACAATAAATTTTAAAAGTATTGCAATCATCTTAATTCGAAATCTTACAAAATTAGACTTAATCTAATTGCTCCAGCTCCAGAATTTATGCCCCAGTCCTTTATTATTCCTTGTGAGCTAGAAAAATATTGTTGATTTTCACCTGGGTCCAAAACAAAATTACCCACAAACAGAAACAGATAGATAAACTGAGAAAAGACATAATATGATGCGTAGTCCATAAAAGGAAAAAAAAAAAATATATATATATATATATATGAATTTAGAAAACAGCTAAACAAATCAAAGGAATCACAATCAGTACTAAAAGTTCAAATCTTCAAACTAAAAAACCACCTGAAACCAAAAATTTCAATCCACAGAAATCAAAACCCACCTCCATTGGGCCATCCAAAAGTTATTTAAATAAAAAAAAAAAAAAAAAAAGAGATCATCCAATAGGCAACGAAGGCACAAGAATCCGAATTCGATTACAACTTTATAAGAAGATCAAGACCCACATGCAGATTCACACATAAACAATGGGCACCACAATCAAAACCAAAAAAAAGGTCAAAAAAGTTATTAAAAAAAAAGAGTAGATAATGGTGATTTTAAGAGAAAACTGACCCCCAAAAAAGAAGAAAAACTTGATCAAGCACGTACCTTTTTGTTCAGATGATGAAGAACATTTGAAACTTTTTTTTTTCCCAACAACCCAATTGGATTTGCTTTTCCTTTTTTTGTTTTCAAGAGAAAAAACTGGAATTTATTTAGCCAAATGATGGGGTTTGGTTTAAGACAAAGAGAGGTTACAAGAGAATTTGACGGTCGGTGACTTGGGTGGCGTGACTGTGAGAGATGAAGAGAGAGAAGATTACCCAATGGCAAGTGACATGTATTCGTCGGATCAGGCGGGTGCAGTTTTCTTATCGTGGGCGCGCTGTATCATATTGCTGCCTTCCATTGTTGTTTTGTGATGAGTTAAAAGTTGTGTTACGTTGGAATGCAAATTTTCTTTAAAAGTTTATAGTGGCAGGCAATTTCCGTACACTTATTTTTGGGCCCACACAACGTGATTTCCACGTGTGCTTCTTTCATTGGGTTTGATCGTTTTCCCAAATCCCAGATTCCCAGCTATGGAGTTGAACACGTCGTTACTCGTTATAATTTGCGTTTTCTAAAGGCACTAGAGTAGAGTCTAAACGCCGTTTCCATTTCCATTACCGTTTCTTTGGTGTAGTGCTTGTACTTGTTGTCGTTTCTGTTTAAGCAAAACGCAGAAAAGCGCATGAAATTTATTAGCCAACAGTAAAGTCCTTAATACAAGCAGCATCGGAGAAACAGTGCAATAGCACATTGAATTAAAAGCTCAAAAATCTAGTAAACTTTTTTTTTTTTTTATAGATTTCATAATGTGAGATCTCATAGAACCATGAAACGGCGGTACTTATCATGCCAAGCATCCCACTAATTTTCCAAACTAAAATTTTGTCCATCAACAACTACCTTCATAATTCACATGAAATTTTGTCCATCAACAACTAAAGTTTCGTTTATTTCACCGATTCAAGTTTAAAATTTGAGTTTTGCTACAGTAAAAAGTTATTAGAAACAGTCACATCTTTTTTTTTACTACAGTAAAAAATTATCACATAAAATCACATCTCAACTCGAATTAAACATTTAAATTAGCGAACTAAACGGACCATAAACTTCTTTTAAGACTCGTAGATATTTGCCGAATAAATTTTCAGAGTTGCTTAAAAGCCCAAGACTTTCCGAACCCTAAGCGTTCCAACATAAGAGGCTAATTAATCTTAGCGGGGCTAATCCGCAGCCTCCATTGATTCAACAACATTGAAACAATAACCAAGATCGGTTTTCTTTACCAAAATTAAGCTCGTATTTTTGTGTTTAGTCGTGAATCTAGTGAGTATCGAGAGCTCTCTTTTAGTATTCGGTGGCCACGTGGGAGAATATGGTTGGAAGATAAATAAGTGACCTCAATAATAGGCACCATAGAGAGAAACATAACATTGTGCATATAGTTTACAACTTTACTTTTATTGGTAGTTTTGAATTTATTTGTATTTCAATTTTAAATTAGGAAATCACTTGATTTTAGGAGATTTAATAGTTTTAGGCAACTTTCTTAAATTTGTAATTGTAATTTATATGTTTGTTGAGCTTATTAACAATATTCCTTATTGGTGAATTTTCTTTGTTTTCATAGTTTGTGAATGTAGGCATAATGTTAGTTAATAATGTAGGTATAATAGGCGCGTTTGGAACTCGTTCCAAAATGATTTTATTTTTTGTATAAAAATGAAGTTGAAAACGTTTTCAATCTCGAAATCATTTTTGAAAATGTATTTGGTAGTTTTATCAAGATATTGTTTTCAGTATAAAAAAACTCATTAATGTCTCTCCCTCTCTCTCACTGCTCGAGAGAGGAGAAAACGAAAATAAAAAATGAAAAATGACTAAAAGTCGTTTTTCATTTCTCTCTCATTTTACACTAAACTAAAAAATCGTTTTCATTTCCGTTTTTTGTCTTTATTCCACCAAACGCCGTTTTGAAAACGTTTTCATTTTTTCTTTCTCAAAAAATGTAAAAAACAAAAACGGAATTAATTCTAAACACGGTTTGTTTTCATAGTCCGTTAGTTAATAATGTTGACTTAACTCAACTGTAATTGAGGAACATTATTATTTGTGTTTTAAGTCTGAATCTATGCACCTTATAGAGGATCGTAGGGGTACTTAGTCACGTTTATGCATCATGTTACTAATGAGGCATATTTCCTAATGCAATTAATTATCTTGGGAAGAAAATTTTTATGAATGTAATGATATAATAATAACTTACATTTTTAGCAACTTTATGAAATAACCAATAATGAAACGTCTAGCGATAATTTCATATTGACCTTTAACAATAAGATCTTGAATTTGAATTTCTCTATTTTCAAAGTTTAAAAAAAGGGAAATACTACAACTACACCGTTTTGTATTTTGTTGAAATTATATATATTTCTTGAGTTTGAATTTCTCTATTTTCAAAGTTTTAAAAAAGGGAAATACTACAACGACACCCTTTTGTATTTTGTTGAAATTATATATATTCTATTTTAAATGTTGACAGAGATAGAGTGAGCTAGTGAGAGAATGATGACGTAAAAAGTTTCAATCAAGAAAGTATCTCTGTAATTTGGCAAAATACAAAGGTGACAATGTAAAAGGTCCAAAAAATAAAAATAAAAAAAAGAACTTAACAATAACATAGGAATAGAGCCATATGGCCTGTGATTATTGTGATACCCAGATATCTCACATATTAATTCGCCAATAAATTGTATAATTTTACATTAATATGCATATAACTTGTATGTTAGATGTGTCATCAAGATGCATGAATAGATAAATAATGTGCATTAAGTATTAAGTTGTGTATGTTGTATTCATTAATGACAGGTTCCCTCGACGGTGGATCCGTTAAGTGGGAAGGATGGAAAAAAATTCTAATGATGGTTTTTATATGGGATTTGATACGTAATGGGGCTCAAATATGTCAAAAAGTACAAAAAATGAGTGAAAACGGTCGATTTTAGACGTAATGGGAAGGTTTAGTACATGTTTTATTAGATAAATAGACGCAAATATGATAAGGGACCATTTAAAATGAGTATATAAGTGGATGAGATTGATTAGATTACGAGGAGCTGACGTGAGTTTTACATGAATTGTAGAGTTAAAATGCTCTAAAACCCTTATTTTTAGCATGAAATTCGGTGTGAGCTCGTACGCTTAATTTAGTAAGCAAATGAATAAGTTACGACCTAGCTTACATTTAAAACCTTGTGTAAGTATTTAACACCTTATTAAGCAGGTGTATGTTGAAAATTAACCCCACTAGGCCTGATTTGGTGGAAGTACTTCATGGTGAAGTACTTTAGGTGCTTACTTTGTTGTTCAAAGACTTATTAAGCAACTAGGTTAAGTTATCAGCCCCAAATTTGCTAAGTCCGACTCTCCCCAGAAGTTAAATACCATTTTTAATTGGAGAACTCAGAAGCCAAGCAAATTTCTATGATTTAGCCATTTTTAGGTACCAATTAGCAAAGAAACTAAAGATGGACTAAGGTAAGTCACTGTTTCAGTATTCAGTACTGTTCAGGCCTGTTCAGGGGGTTTTCTTTTGAATTCGACTATAAAATTTGAACCACATGGTCTCCCTTATGTCAAGAGGATCCCCATAAAAGGGTATAAGCAAATTCAAAAGGAAAGTGGTGGCTTTGGATTCGTTTGAGAAAGCTGTATAGAAATAGGTTCGTTTCTAAACTGGTTCAGGTTTGTACTTAGTTACCTAGGTTAGAAAGCCTCTTTTAATCTAATTTTCTCAGGGTGGACTCAATTATATGTTAACCAAATGCCACTAAAACAGTTTTGGTAAATTCTGGTTTGGGAGTTATAACCTAAAGACTGAGGCTGGTTCATTTTGTGGTGTTGGAAGAATTTTTTGTTCCATGGTGTTTTGTGAATTTTGGTGAATTTAATTTTATTTCAGTTTCAAATCAGGTATTTTTATACTTTGAGGAGTGTTAAAATTAAGGAAAAACTCTGCCAAAAACGTTTTAAAAAAAAAAGAGAGAGAGATTTGAGCCTATTCAGGTCTAAAACTAGTGGAGACAAAGCCTAGATAGGCCACTGTCGAGCCATGGGGCCCTGCCCAGGCCATCAGCCAGGCTTGGGGCACGCACAGGCTAGCCTCATGCAGGCCAAGAGTACACCCCGTCAGGCACAAGCACGCCCTTGGGGCTGCTTGGCCAGGCTACGGCCTGACTAGGCCATTTGCCTTGTCAAGGGTTTTCGGGGCTCCCTAGTATATTTTTAATGTCGTTTCTTGCGCGTGAGACTTGTAAACCCCTATTTTTATGAATATTGCTTAAAATAATTATTTAAAATATTATTTTAATTATTTAAATACTTAAAAATTAGTAAAATTTGGGAAAATTTATAAAAGTCACCAAAATTGAGGTTTTTACTTTGTTTTTCATATTCTTTCATCCAAAAACTTAGCTTAATTCTATTCTTAAGAATTATTATGATTTAGAAAGTTAGAAATAAATCTGATCATGGGAATTTGAAGTTGAATGAAAGTGTAAGTTAAGAATGAGCTCCTGAATACACAATTATTAGTTATTGTTGGTCAGATAATAATAAGAGTTAATACTCAATGTTTCAGAGGTGTGGAGCACCGGATTCCCTGAGAGGATACCAGGCAGCCTCAATATCAGTTCTAAGGCTTGAGGTAAGTAGAATCTCACATGTGTCACCATAAAAGTCATGCATATGCTATGAGTTTCAAAGTTGTGATAAGTGGGTATACGAAACATGTGTTATTGATATTGACATGATCATGCATGCATGCATTATGTAAGATATGTATTATTTAACATATTAAAAAGGGAATGAATATTGAAGAAAGTTAAATGGTAGTTATGTATCTTCTGACGGGTTTTGTGTCTCCAAGGAGACTGCCGGACCTTTTGTAGCGTGGGAAGCTTTTCCGATGATCAAGAGGAAGGATTTGTGTTTAAATATGGCTGGCCCCACGTTATATTAATAAATTTGTGATCACTAGGTCATTTGACCTTTTGTCTCGTTAGAGATTTGCGGTGTGGGAAGCTTCCTTGATGATCACGAGGAAGAATTGGTTTTAAATGTGAAAAATGTATTTTGCCCTACATGATGGCATTTGATATTATATTTATTTTGTGGCCACCAAGTCCGATGAGGTATCTGGGATACCACCCCATCCAAGAAAAACCTTTTTTGCATGCACAAGATAAAAGAACAAACGAAAAGTGAAATGAAATATCTTATTAAGTCATGAGCTCATACATATTTTCATTGTTGCTATATCATGCATTATTCTACTTACTGTGTGCTAGCTCACTCATTTTATGGTTATGCAGATGAGGGTACATCCCAGCATTAGCTGTGGATTTGATGATTGGCTAGCGCACTCCTGAGGACTGAGATTGATGTACATGGACTAGCTGACCTATATTTTGGAGGCCCCCGTTGTACTTAACATAGTATAAGGCTGAGCCTATTTTTGATAGATGTATTATATTATTTATATTTAGCCAGTAAATTAGGGTGTATTATATATATTTTGATTATCTTTGTTAGTCAGAAAGTTTTAAAAGTATAAATTTTTTCATATTTTTATATTTAATACGTGTAACATGTTAAGTATAAGAAAAAGTTAAAAAGTAACACTATTTAATATGATTAATTAGGTAATTTAGGGTTATATTAATGGGGGTGCTACAGTTATTGGCTTTATTATGTTAAAGATACTTCAGTTCAATTGTCAGAAAGCTGAATGGGTTGTTTGCCTTTTCTTGACTTGTTCATAAGATTTTGCTGGTAGGCTTTCTAGTTTCTACCACAAATTGCCTATTCAATGCAGAAAGGTTGTAAAGTATGCCCAATATTATATATAAATATAACAAATGTGAACCTTTTCCTGGAAAATAAGCATTAAATTGATTAGAAAGACTCTGAACAATCATCAATACACCTCAATAATGATAACAAAAAAAAAAAATTTCCACACGCTTTTCCTTTCCTGGTCATATTTGGTTGTGGTTTAAAACATTATGAGAATATTGATAATAAATAATTTTTTTTAAAGAGGTAATATATAATTTTTCTCAATGCTTGATAGCTTTAACAGAAAAGCCGATAGCGTGCCATATATGATTATTCAACCATAACTTATGGTCCATAGGGGCGGCTTAATTCGTTCATATAGATATTACATTCATTTCATATAAGGAAGCCACAGAGAAGGTGGGCAACAGAATTTTTTTTTTTCTGACAGCGAATAAGACAGAAAAAAAAATAACAGATCTTCAATATGGACATTCTTTTATCTATATATATATATATATATATATTAAAGATAGAAAATCGTTCTTATGCACACATTCATTTCATATAAGGAAGCCACAGAGAAGGTGGGCAACAGAATTTTTTTTTTTCTGACAGCGAATAAGACAGAAAAAAAAATAACAGATCTTCAATATGGACATTCTTTTATCTATATATATATATATATATATTAAAGATAGAAAATCGTTGTTATGCACAAACAAACATCAAAACAATTTATGAGGCAATAAAACTGCCAACTGAATCAATACCTTCTCTTATTAATTCTCAATCTTTTCACATAGTACAAAAGGCACCGCTCCTCCAGCAATACAAGGAGAAAAATTCACAAAGAATCAGAATAAAAAATCAAATATCAATATTTATCTCTATATATATGTATATATATTATAAGCTCGTAAGATGAAATTTAGAAATTTTAGTGCACGAGGTAAGTGATTGCAAGAGCCACCAACAGAAGAACGTAAGCAACCCCTTGATCTAGAGCCGTGCCTGCAATAATTAAACAACAACAAAACACAAACAATTAATACACATGATCCCCACAAAAACCCATCGTACAAAATTGTGGCTGTAAAAATAACGTGACTAAACAAAAAATTGGAAACCAGAAAATAAAAATAATTATTACATTATTAGTACCTAAACTATATCAAAAATTGGACCTTGGTCCCTAAGCTTCACTATTAAGTTACCAAATATTAACATTCCGGTGGAAGAAAAAGGGGCGGGTGACGATCAATAAAAAAAGTTTAGAGACTAAAACATGAAATTTTGAGATGGTTTAGGGATTAACTGAGCAATTAAAAGAGATGAATTAAGAGAAGAAAACTCACCATCATTGACTGGACCCTGAGGTGCCGGAGAAGGAGCTAAGTCCTGTCCATGACTCAGATTCATAAGCGCCAACAAAATAAACCCAATAATTGGAAGAGCAAAAGATTTCATGGCTGTGTTCATTCTTACAAAAAATCAATTAAGAAAACTAAATATAAATATAAATATATATATATATATATGTATGTGTATCTATATTTATGTGAATGCGAGAGATTTCAAAGAGTTGAATTTGGAAGGATGATGAAGAAATTAGAAATGGGGTCTGGTATTTATATGTGGGAAGGATGGAAAAGATGGTGCAGTTTCTAGGAAAGTGAATTCCCGGTAAAGGGACGGAAAATGAAAGTGGGACTGGGTTGGGTTCTATTCTAAGGGAAGAAAGGAAGGAATAAAGAAAGATAAACGCGTGGTAGAGACGACGACGAGCCTCCTTTTTTTTTTCTTTTTTTTTTTTTTTTTTTTTTTTTTTTTTGTTTTCCTTTGACTCGGTTGGCATGGCGGCTTTTCAACTCATTGGCTCGGAGGAATAGAAAGACACGAAAACAGTACGGCATAATTAGTCCCGTGTGTACGAATTATATTACGTGAAATGGTTAGAAAGTCTATTTAAGATTTCGTTTTTGACTTTGGGTATTGTAGTTCTAGAAGATATTGCCCATGTTTGTTTTATTAATGGTCTGTTTAGTTCGTTAATTTTATATGAAAATTTTTTACTGTAGTAAAAAAGTTAAATGTGACTTTTTAAAGAGTTTTTTATTGTAGTAAAATTTGAATTCTAAACTCGAATTAGTAAAATGAACGGGGTCTAATTTAGTTCAGTTTGAACAGTCAAGACAGTTGAATTGGTATTTAGTAAACATGAAGTTTGAATTATATTCGCCGTTTAAATTGAGTTAAACAACCCAATTTAAAGTTTAGCTCTCCCTCAAGTTCAACTGTTCAAAACATTTTTAAAGAATAAAAAGTGCTCACTTTCTTGCTTTTCACACCTACCAAACACAAATTTGAATTTTATTCCTTGTTCAAATTAAAATTTTAACTATACATTTAAACGTCAATTCAAATTATAATTTAAATCACATAGTTTAAATTTTTATGTTTGTTAACACACGATTTTGTACCATGCCCATTCAAGGGTATAGGCCCAACCATGACATCATGCGACGCTATTGGACGTACTTCGTGGACCCAAGCCACGCTCAGAAAACTCTCGTGGGTTGTGGTTTGGTGGTCATGTGTGATCAAGTAGGCATGTTTGTCATTTAATTCGATCTAATTTGAATCCCGCTTGTGAGGGTTTTCAAAATTAATCAGATTAAATAGAAATGAGTGATGAAGAATTCTCAAAGAGCCTTCCTTCCGTCTTTTTGGAAGCCCAAAACCCCTAAGTCCAAGCCTTAGAACATCTTCTTTTTCGTCAGGGTTGATTCTCAGTGTTTTAACTCCAACAGAGACTCTACTCGCGCCAGACATGCCTAATAGAGGCTCCCTTCGTGGTAGGCATGTCTTCCGGAGCATCCTCTTCAAGTCAAAGTATGCCTAACGGAGCCTTTTTCGTGTCAGGCATCATTCCTTTAGACTTCTTCTCGCCCAGTTCACCATTGAAGCGTTCTTCACCTGGAGCATGCTCACCATTCGAGGCAGCTTCACCCGGAGTAGCCTTCATCTAGAGCATGCTCACCGTCAGAGCAGCTTCATTCAGAGCAACTTTCATGTCGGAGCCAACTTGACGACTGCTTAGCCAATATCGCATAAACCATCTCTAACAAGGTCTGACATGCAATCAGACATCCGAAAGAGGAAGTCAACATAGCACAAAGTTGAGTCAAACACTTTTGAGAATTTCAGACCTTGGAACTCTTTACGTCATCTTCAAATCTAGAGCTTTGCCTCAAAGTCTTTCCCATTTTGAATCTTTTGTTTGTCAATCCGGAAAGTTATCTGATCGCTTTACTCCAAAAGGAATTGCCTGTGCAGGTCTCCGTCAGAGCGCCGCCGATTGGGCTTCGGAGTAGCCACCATGAATCTTTCTTTCCATTTCTGGATCAGCTCTTTTTCAACCCCGAAAAGGCTTCTGGTAACTTTGCTCCATTTAGATTGTGTATGTATGCTTCCTTCAGAGCGCCACCAATTCACCCCTGGAGTAAGTTTCCAGAAGTCTTCATTCCATTTTCGGCTAATCTCCTTCTCAATTCCGGAAAAGTGTCAGAAGGCTTTGCTCCATCAGGATTGTTTGTGCAGGCGTCCATCAGAGCGCGTCGTACGAACCTTTGGAGCTGCCGCCAAAATTCTACCAATTTCACCTATAAGTACTCTTCATCTCCTTCATTTCAAAAGGGTGAATCCACCATTAGCACCAGCCACTAGTTTTATCCTGATATTACCTTTTCTTCAAACTTTTCTAGTTTTTTGCTACAAAGACTTGAGGTTCTTCAAGCTCTTCAAAATACTTCAAAGTCTCCAAGTGTTGACAGACTTAAAAACCTTTTCAAAACACTTTTCGATCCATTTCCACCACCATCTTAAAACTTTTTTAAGTTTCTTCATACATTTTTCGGCAACGTCTAAGTCTTCATTTTCGGGGTCATTTCCACTCACCGTCAGATCAAGTGCTCCGAGCGTCGTTCTCACTTCCAGAGCAACATGCGATGCTCTTGGAGTTCTTTTCACCAGATCCTTATCCACCTCACCAACTTCACTCTCACTCTCCTCTAAGCCTTATCCACCACTCGAGTCACCATCTTCGCTCCTGGAGCAGCACGCGCTTGTCTCTAGAATACTGCTCTATCAAGGCACCTTCGGCCTCATTTTCTCCATCTCTATCAACTACTTGGTCACACCTCCCACCATTCTTCATCTCCGGAGTTCCTTTATTTGTTTTTCAGATTCTCTAATGTATTTTGCATGGCATTTTCATCATTTCGGCAACAAATAGGGTCCTAAGACACGCGTCCTTCAGCCTAATTTGGGCCTAATCGACCCCCCACTTCTTCGTCAGAGGTCCTGCAATCCTCATCCATATCGAAGCTCGATCATGTCGAATCCGCTTCCGACAAACTGTGTGCTTACATGTGTCAACCCCTGACACGTCGACCCTCTGAATCTACCGGACTCTGATACTGTTTAAATTAAAAAGTTTAAACTAATAAAATTTAAATTGGCAAACCAAACACAGGAGCATTAATTATTTGTCAGCACGTATCGCTCTTCAATTTCTACAAGTGTCAGTAATTGTTATGTTTTGTCCCACTTGTTTTAGTTTTTTTTTTTTTTTCGCATTACTTTTTAATTTTGGCCTTTGGCATATAAAATGTTGAAATACTCGAGCTTTATCAAACCTCCGATCCAATTTGTATGAGAATTTTTGAAAAAGAGTACTTTATTTTTTAATTTGAATGAGAAAATTAAGGAACTTACTTGCTAAAAAATATATGAGTCTAAATTTTTACCTATTATTCTTAATTAATATTCTTTTAATTAATATATTATTTAATTAAAAATATATTAATTAAAAATAAAAGATAAAAATAAAGATGTATATAATTTAAGAGAATATTTATCTCATTTTTTCTACTTTAATTTTGAAGTCGAGTGATATCTTTTAAGTGGAACGCAGTTAACATTATTGCGTTCCTTATTTTCTTCATCACGAAGTTCTTATCATTGTCAATAATAATAAAGTTAGATCACTTGATTGTCCCATTTACTGTCCCGTCAATTTATTTTGTGACGTTATATATGATTTTTATTATTATTTTCGACATCGTTAAGTACTTGATACAGGCAAAGAAAAGTTTCATTTCCTTTGCTGAAAAACAATATCCTCTTTTTCTTAAATAAAAAAAAAAAACTCCCTTTTTAATCCATGCAAATACTGAAAGAGAAGAGGAAAAAAAAAAACAAAAAGTTTTCCTTTGACATCTCCTACTAATTATTATTGTCGAGAGGAGAGAGAGAGAGAGAGAGAGAGAGAGAGAGAGAGGAAATGCATCATGTGCAGCACTTGGGTGATTTTTGCTCAATATTGACTTTCTTCTGTTTTAATCCAAATTCGTGTATATGCAAATCCTTTTGTCTGAATTGTCTCGTCCTACTCCAACAAGTTTAGGATTGGAAAGTAAGAACAAAATTTGTAAACGTAAATTTAATTACTTTTCAAACTCAAATTCAAAGAGATACGTCATGAAGATTAATAATTTTTTTTTTTTATATATATATATATAAGACCCGTAACTTCCTCTAAATTAATCCCACCCTATCCTTCTTGAACCTTCGGGTGTCACGAGACCAAGAGGTTTCTTGGTCTTATATGCAACGTCAAGATCAACAATCGTTAATAAGATTTGTATCAATGGAAGCTTCTAGTGGTGACAGTCTATAAGAGCTCTCGTCATTATTGCCGTAATTAAAAAAAGTATTATTTTCAACTTTCTTTTATTGGTCTCGTGTCTTTTTTCTTCTGAAAACGAAATTTTTGGGAAGAGAACTTCAACTTTGAGATGCTCCCACAGACTAAAAAAAAGGGCTGTCTTTGTCAAAAGGGTTGGTGTTTTCCCGTGTAAAAAACACATTGGTGGGTCTCAATTAGATGTCCGAATACTTGTCAAATTTTTAAAGGTCGAACACAATGGAGATGTTATGTTTCGAGTTCTCTTCAGCAGGCTGCAGCAACAAAATGTCACGGAATTAGGTGAACATGCCAAATAAGCCCACTTTCCAAGTTCAATCTTCAAAACATTCTACCACCAAAGGATTTGATTTGTAAATATGGGCCCGGGTCAAAACAACCGGGTAGTCTTCAGTTCGATGTTTGGCCCGGCTTGCATAAGCATTTGGGTCGAGCCAATTTGGACCTAGGTTTCTAGCTTTGGGTGTCCCGACTCGGATAGTATTTTTATATTTTTTTTTATATATTTTTGGGATACATACGCGTGTTGGTCTAGTTCATCGGGCTAGACCCCATTAGAAGTGTCAAACGCGTCGTGCCGGGCCGGCACAGCATGCTTAACACCAGGCCCATTAAGGGCCTGGGCCGGGCCTGAGAAGAAAAACTTAGGCCTAGTCCAGGCCCTTCACGGGCCGGCCCCGGCCCTTGTATTTTTCATTTGTCAAATATTTAAAGGTCAAATGGACTTGCGATATTGGAGTTAGTCGTGAATTATTCACGTCTTTAGAAATTGTCTAATGGAGATGTTGTTGTGTTTCAAGTTCTCTTCAGCAGGCTGGAGCAACAAAATGTCACGGAATTACGTGAACATGCCAAATAAGCCCAATTTACAAATTCAATCTTCAAAACATTTCTACCACCAAAGGATTTGAGGTGTAAGACCATATCCAACCCACCTCCATTTTGCTAAGATAGAGTATCAAGTACCCTTCTCCAACCCAACTCTATTTCTTCACTCTAAAATAGAAATCCCAATAATTGGGATGAGTGAAGCGCCAA